TGGAAGAGCTGCTGCACGTCTGGAGCCCAATCCACAACATTAAATTCCACCTCCAGTTGATCCGAGACAGCGTCAAAATCCAAAAGTCTTGCACATTCGCTCTCGGTCAAACCCAAGGACAACCGCAAATCAAACCCTCGAGCAGACGAAAGGGCACCGTGCAGACTCATGACCTGAGGGCGCTTGGATGACCTAGCCGGTGTAGCGACTGGAGTCCAGCGAGGGCACCTCTCGAGCAGGACTGGGACAGCTGCAAAAGCTGAATCCACTCCGTCTCAGAATCAGTATCCTCCAGCCGGGCAGAAACACTATCTCTATGCGAGTCACAAATGGTCGAAAGCTCATCGTCACTTTCCATGTATTCAAGTAACTGCACAAGGTCTCCGGACTGTACAGTCAATGTCTCATCCCATTCATGCCAATGTTCATGACTCCAGACAAAGCATTCGGCAACAGCCCCACATCTATGATCTGGATGAATTTGCTCAAAGACATTGTTTGTCAGCAAGAGATCCTGTATCCGCAGAAGAAACCCCCTCGTGTTTCAAAGTCCGGTGTCTCCAGGTCCACCAGGATTGCACGATATAAAATACTCGTGTGTTCCACCAGAAGCAGGGATGGCAGAGCAAATCCCGAATTCGGAACCAAAGAAGATACAGGGACAAGATGAGGTCGGTCCAAAAGTCCTGCATCACACCAGACATGTAGTGCATGATCGATGTCTTCACCAATCTGCGGAACAAAAATGCGGAACTCGATGTGTATACTCTCTCGACGATCCCAACGGATCAACCAAGTATGCACTGCCGCAGGTGTTAGTGAAACACGTGATGAGGTCTGTTCCTCTCTCCCCGAGAATGACAACTGCATCAATGTGTGCTCATCAGGGCGATCCGCAGCATCATCTGCAGTCGAAAACTGACGATGAGAAGAAAACTGCTAACGGAAGGAAGCCAAGGATCCACCCAAGACTCTCTGGTTTACCTTCTCCTCCAAAACCTCCCAAGGGCCCTACAACAACACTTGCCCACTGGCCCGGTCTCCACGGTATAAGGTCATTGGGCGCAGCAGGTTCACCCACGAGTGAGACCTGATATTGCTGAGTGTCAGGCACAATATTTGGTAATTAGTCGCGACCGCCACACAAGACTGCTTACTGTGACAGCTTGCGTCACTACATGAATTTCTCTCCACGTGTCCTGTCCATCATTGATCTCCAGCAGAACTGGAAGTTCATGGCCATGGGCAACTGGGAGCAAAACCGCAACGCGCAGATCAACAAAAGGAGCTGACTGAAGCGGAAAGATTCTCGCATGCCAGCTCCAGAGCGTTGCCAGCTCTCTTCTCAACCAGTGCAAGAAGCCACGCTGGTTAGACAAGACTGCAGAGTAAAATGAATCTGGTGCCTCACCATGCCTTCGAAAACAAAAAGCGTGATGTCTTGATCGCAACGACCAACAAGTTTCAAACCCGCTCTTCGTGACCAATCTGGCTCCGATGGGTGCTCCGTGCATATAACTCATGGGCCAAACGGAGGCACTGATCCGGCCCGTTCAGCCAATCTGCGGAGGGTGACCATGAAGGTCGGACTCAAGTGCATGGAACCAAAGCAAAAAGCAAAAAGCAGAAGCAAACAAAACGCGGAAAAAAAAGATCTCTGGAAAAAAAAAACGGTTCCGATTCAAGATCTCGTGCCCACCGAATCACATTCCAAATAGAAACATCCATGGTTGGGAGACTGCTTCCGAATGGAATCCACCTGCCCCCCGGCGGAAACGGCGTCTGGGCGCCACCCCGGCCTCCCTCCAGACCACCGGTCACACCCACCAGGGGCAGAGACTGGCGGAATCGATCGGTGATGACATCTGAAAGGGAGCTACTAGTAGCGTCCTTGCTCCTAGTAGCGATCGTAGCTTCTTGTTCCTAGTAGTGAGGCCAGGAGCCCCTAGTAGCTTCTTGTTACTAGCAGAAGGAAGGCAATAGGAATGGTCTCCACCCTAATAGCGATGGCCTCCACCTAGTAGCTTCTTGTTACTGGTAGCGATGGCCTCCAACCTACTTACTTGCGATCTGGATCGGCCGAAAAGATCCCAAAGGGCCCATGTCCGGGGCCCACCATCCGGTGAAGGTCATTCACATGGCAAAGCTGAACAGCATTACCCACCTGGACATCTAAAATAGGTCCAGCCGGCGGCGAAGCTTTGGTCAGAATTGGGGTGCGCTCCTGTCACTGTCGGTCACCTCTATTTAATCACCACTGCCCTCAGCTAGCTCAACTCCGAAAAGTCCCAGTGGTTTTGACCCGACGAACCAGATCTCCGGTGTCCCACTTCCCACATTCCGCCCAAAAGATAGAAATCTATCAACGCGAAAAACACCACTCACCCTTCTAAAAGACCCCACACCCTCTGACCTCTGTCTCTCCTCTCCCCTCCTCCTTCCCCCCCTTTCTAAGAGCGCGCCATGAGGCCGTTGAGCTCGCCGTGGTGCCGGCGATGGCGGGGCGACCACTGGCCTCGGTGCGCTCAGCCGAGATCCGGACGATGAAGGACGGAGGTGGCGTTCCGATCTTGGGGACGTGTGTTGGACGGTGACAACGTGTGTGTTCAAACACGCAGCTGGAGACCGCTGGAGAGTTGGGTACGAGCAATGTTGAGAGACGTGAGGAGCTCAAATAGGCACCCAAAAAGATCGGTGCGGGAACCGAAAAAGAGGTCGAACATCGCGCCCTAAGTGGTGCAGAACCTCTGAGACTGTCGCCATCCGGGAACCTCATAGGGTTGCGCTTGTGCCAGTGACACTGTTGTGGGGGCTGGTCGTCTTGAAACTCAGCAGTTCAAAAAAAACTCGCACACAAAGAAGACAACCTATTTATACAAGAACCATTGCGATGCCATAGTCCAGTAGTTTCCTGTTGCCTGCCAAAATGGAATTGGAAAGAGACCCAACACTTGGGAACCCTGCCACCCTGCCACTCGATCAGATCGGGCCCGGGCACAAGTCAGCGGCCGCTTGAAACAATCCACAATATGAGTACAGGGCTGCTGCCTGGCAGGTTCCGTTCCATCGCATCGCGATCTCTTCCGGCTTTTGAGGCGGCCAAACGAGCAGGTCTTCTGTCCCGAGTCGGTTGAGATCGGTGAAGATCGGACTCAGGCGTAGGCTCAGTAGGCGGTCGGCTGTCGGAAGGCTGTCAGTATACTTCAAGTCTACTTCAGTACCCCAAGGTGTGTCATGAAAAGCTTGGAAGAGCTTCCAGACTTCTAGCTGTCAAACAACTATAGTTCTAGGGCGGACAGATGTCGCACATCCACAGCCAGGGACCCATGAGTGCCTCACAACCACTGGAAAACCAACGAAGGACACACAGGGCTATTGGACCAGGCGTTAGAAACACGACATGGTTTCACCAGATGGTGTTTGCACAAATCGGGCGATTTGGCTAATCTTTTCTTCACCAGATTTCGACCAACACATGTTCTCGGTCACAATCCATGGGCTCATCAATATCTCTATGTTTCACCGCCCATGGATTCTCCCTCCCGATACGGCGGTGCCGATCCGCTATCGCGCGGATGTCGTCCCCCGCCTTCTTCGCAGCAAACACGCACGGGGCGAAAATGCGGGGATTCCCCGGGGCGTTTCTCGGTGCACGGCGAAGCGTCGAGTGCTGTGTCCTGCACCTGCTGCAGCTTGGTTTCTCTGCACGTGCGAGCTGGTTCTCGGTGCTAGCTGCTAGTTCTCGGTTCTTCTGCATGGTGCCAAAATCGGTGGGTGGTCCAGCATTTGAACAGGTTACAGTTGCAAACTTGACCAGGATCTGCCTTGGGCTGTCTGATTCATCGAAAAAGTAAAGGTCGCTGTGTTTTTGGGATCGGGGTGCTCTTCGAAAACACCGTATAAAGACTTCCATCTGCTCAGTGCTGATGGCTCAATTCTCGTCGATTCCTGCAATCTGCCGGCAGCCGACTTCTGTACAGCAGCCCTCCCCAGGGCAATCGGCGGCTTTGAGCCGAGGAGGAGCCAAGAGTCAGGCCAGGAACTCATGTTGATTCCATGTTCATGTCCCACCACACCCAGAAACCGCAATTCCTCATCACCTCCAACAGTTCATACGTTTAGCGTATGGGAGTGGTCAAATCCCTGGACATGGTCAACAATCTCTGTATAGAACCCTTCTCCTCTGCAGATGTGTCGCCTTTCCTGTCTGGGAAGTTGGTTGGACGAGCAGAATTCTTGCTGATGAGAGAGTTTTCATAGCAAAAAGACTTCAACATCCTCTTGTGTTGCTTCTCAACCCCGTCTCTATGTACGTTCCTTCATGTTGCAAAATGATGCTTCGCATCCCTGCCACCTTCACTTTTGTGATGATTACTCTTGCGATGCAGTGCACATATGCCCAAAGCATTCTGCAGAACGCCCACTGTCCGGTGCGTGATGCCAAAGGCAAACCACCAATCTAAGCGGCAAAAGCGCTCCCTACCGGGCGTCGCGTGTGGATATGTTTGGTTTGCACTTCGACGAACATGGAAGCGGAAACCCACCTGTTCGTGGAGGATGGTCCTTCTTAGGACCTTGGACGTCCTTCTTCCAGACCCTCCCAACCCTCCCCTTTTGGTCGAGCCTACAGCACCCACCCTCCGGCGTCACACGCGCCGCACCGTGCGCACCTAGTAGCAAGAAGCTACGCACGGTGGAGGCCATCGCTACTAGTATACAATAAGAAGCTACTTAGTATGAAGAATGAGTAGCTTTTCTTGTAGCTTCTTAGTATGAAGCTACCCTCCCGCTGAGCAGACCCTCCTTGTAGAGGACAATTGGTCTTCCAGGGGCCGAACTGTTCCACTTCCATGATTGTTTCAGGGAGTGTACCTAGTATGAAGAATGATATGAACGGAGCAATGCTCGTGACCAAAACGGAGCTCCTGGCATCGCTACGAACGGGGCCTGAAGAATGATAGAATCCGTTTTTCCCCCCGCTGCTCTTCCCTTTTTGCCCCTCACGTCGCCACCGTCCCAGCATCCGCCGCATGGGCCTTCGAGAAACACATCCGACGTCCGAGACGGCGTAATTAGCGTCCGAGGACGACGGGAAACGGGGGTGCGGTCTATCCATGTCATCCAGGGCCGGATGATGATGGTGCTGGTATGTGCTGGTTCGGTTGGCCATTGGGTTGGCCATACCGACTGTTACAGGTTCTCAAACGGACAGACCCCCGTTGGGGACATCCAACCAACATCCACAAGGGACGGACGACCGACTGCATCGAAGAGACCGAGACATCATGACACGAAGGACATCGAAATCGAGAGTGGAACTGTTTGTGCAACATCTCTGCCTTGTGGGGGGACGGAGCACTCGCTGCATTGGCGGCTTGACCCGGACCATGGAGCCGCATGGAGCTGGGTTCCCTGTTCGTCCGGAATGTATGGACACCCCCCGACAGCCAGAAATCGAGAGATCACAGCATCGATAGCTGACGAACCTGGGACATCACCCCAAAAAACTGCCCCATGACCGATTCCTCCTAGGTTGGAGGCCATCGCTAGTAGGGCAAATAGATGGTGGCACGGTGTCCACATTTTTAGAGGGGATCTATGTTTCTATATATCTATTTGGAGGTCTATGCTATGACTTCTAACTTATAACTTATAACCAACAAATAGACATTGGAAAATCACACTGGTCCTGACATGCCTAAGTCGCCAGTAGACTCCTCTTTGCCGCAAGTGTCAAACAAAAGATAAAAGTGCCCAACCGACTATGCTTGTAGAAACCAATGGTTTTCAGCCTTGGTCTGGATGGGTGGTGTGTTCCTCATTAACCCCTGTCTAGACTCCTAGACCCTGGACGCGCAGGTGGAGGGTCTGCGTCCCATCGGTTTCGGACCAGATTCGCACCTCAAAAGGAACTCTTGGGTCAAACCATGTCAAACCCAGAGGTGTACAGATTTGTTTCTCCCAGGCTTGCAGTCTACACCACCCAGGACTAAACACCTGACTCAGGTGCGCCTTCACTTTGATCCACCTGAAGGTCAGGTTGATGCGGGGCCCACACGGCTGCTCGCTCGCAGGCACCTCAGTTGCAAGCAGATTGGCCGCGGGTGGATTTGTGATAAATATGTTTAAAATAATGATAGTCATAAAGAGACATTTGGTACCCTTATGTCATGTCATTAAGAATTTGGCAGGTTACAGAAGCCCTAGGGCCCTTGGGGCTCCCACTCCAAGCCTACCCCAGAGTACCGCCCTTCGACCCCCAAACGCAGGGTGTGTGTGGAATCCGTCCTTCGGAACACGTGGTCGTTGACCCTGTGAGTGTGGTTGGTGTCGGCTCTCTCATGGTGGAGAAACGCTGAGTCACCTCTGGCTGATCCACACACGCGCCCACCACGTTCATCGCCACGTGCATCGCCACAGTTCGCCACGGCGGTCGGGCCGGCACACGGGGCCAAAGGAGTCCGAGCTTCCCCGCCGCGTGCTTGTAGTGCTTCTGGAAGAGGCCTGAGGAACCGATGGCCCGTGCCGCAACAGGACCGGCCCGGCCAGGCAACACACCATCCAACGCAACCAGACCGGCCATGAGGGCCATGGATTTGGGAGAGTCCAAATGGTCGTAGAAAGTGAACGGTCAAAAAGTATCTTGTTTGAGACTGCAAAACTGTGTTTTCAAGAACCGTTTGTTTTGTAAAGATCTGTTCCTATAAACGCGAAAAGAGTGTCCTGCAATGGCACCCAAATGTGTGTCATATATTGAGTCTTTTTCCCCGTACCATAAACCTGCAGGCCAATCGTCTTAATGAAAGCATATGAAAGCCAAGACTTGGGCACCACTGAACTCATCACGTTCCTTCTGAAAGGCCCACAGGGTCAGTATGAATCTGGTGAGCTCAGTGACGCAGCCAAGGGAAAACCGCATTCTGCCCAGGTCCGCTTCGCCGTCGTGTCCCGCTTCGCCTCGCACCATCCACCTAAAGAGCTCATTTCATCGCCGATGGTGAACCCATGCCCCAAAAAAGGGCCGAAAGGGGCTGAATTCATCAGCGATGCGTTTCTCCGGTCCTGTTTTTCCAAGCAAGCACCCCCAAAAGACCTCTCGGGTCTCCCGAAGAAGAGCGGAACCACATCGCCCAGGTGGGCGGGGGGGCGGGGGGGCCAAAACAACGACCGACTCCATGACGTGTTCGGGTCCGTTCGCCTTCCATGGTGGCCACATCTCCGTCGCCCAGGGAGACCACGCCCAAGGCTTCTGAGGTGCCTGGAGAACCGCAAAGACGTCTGGAGGTGGAACGAAAGGGCGTTGGGATGTTTTTGAGGTTGGACTGACTTGAGAGAGGAAGGGGTGAACGAAAGGTAGCAGGCCATCGCAAGCAACCCTGGTAAAAGTCCATGACGGCGTGAACCGGCGCAGGGGGGATTTGATCCAGGGGGGGGCCCCCCCGACGAACAGAATCAACTCTTACAGGACCAAATTCAATGCACAATCCCAACTCCTGATTGTAATACATTTTTGCTAAAGCAACTCAGGTAGCTCAAGCTACCTTTCGTGACATGGAACGTGGATGGAACGTCTCCCAAAACAGGTCACGGAGGGGGGGGGAAGTTCTAGACACCACCCCGGGGGTTCAACGGCTCGGCTGACACTGAGTACACTGAAAGTCCTGTGTCTCAGAACGCCCGGATCAGCCACTGCAAAGCGCCGAAAGAAGAAGTGGCTGAAGTGGCTCCAAGGGCGGGCAATGACTTTCGGGGAGGCCTTACTACTAGGAGCAAGGACGCTACTAGGGGAGGTGTTCTTCCATCATCTTTCCCTCCTCCTCAAAGAAAGACGTCGACAGCTCCTGATCGGTCATGCAGCAGTCATGATCGGTCACGCAAGAAATAGGTTCCAGGATGTTCCAGCGAGCAAATCCTAGATTTTGTTTGAGTCGTTCCAAGGGTTCATGTAGCTGCTCCTCATGTCCACCTCGCAAACCCTCCGGCTCAGCCTTGGAGGCGCCAATAGAAGTCTCGAGCGGCGCCCAAGGACAAGGAGAGGATCCTTGCGCAGAACGATCCAGCTACTAGGAGCGGATCGGACGCTACGAACGGGGCGCTCCTGGCCTTACTACATCTTACTACTATAGGATCAAGAGGACGCTACGAACGTAACATGTTGGGCATCGCTACGAACGGAGCAAGTCTAAACCGGAAGAAAAGCCGGATGTCGCCAACTCCTCGACGAGGAGATGCGGACACCTTCGACTCGTTCATTTGGTCGACCAAAGGCTTGGAGCGGTTGTTCAAGTGGGGTGTTCCGGGTCATATCATAAGGAACCTGGGGGTGGACATATCCAAAAGAATGAAGGATGTTTAAGTGGCTGCCGAAAGATTGTTCAGTGAGAAAGAAACTGGGATATCGGCACCTGCCAACTTTGATGTAACTGCCATGTGTTTTTGATGTTTTGTACTGGTAGCGTCCTTGCTCCTAGTAGCAATGCCCTTTGTTACTAGTAGCTATTTGCTACTAGTACTGCCAGGAGCTACTAGTAGCGTCCTTTTGTCAGTTCAGGTGTTGAGCTGGTTCTACATGAAGTCGTGGGCTGTGGCCTTGGCCGTAGAAGTACTGAGAAGGGTTGCCAATACATGTCGTTTGTTTGGGGCTTTCGCCTCATCTTCAGCAACAAATGCCTGCTGAAGACTCCAAGTGTGGGCGATCTGTGTTGCTCTCAAATTGCCGGTGGCCACCATCCTTTTTCGCGGTCTGCACCGACCGCATGGCATGTGTTTGTGAATTACATCCTCAGTCAATGAGCCATACACGTTCGTTTTTATTGCCCATGTCACACTGGACACAAGTCTTTAGACACATCAGATTGGATCTAGCTGCTGGGTTCCAGACCCGTGGACACGCCACGGCCCCACTTGAAGGGATAACGCTCGTCCCATCTTCCGAGTGTGCATGTAGGATCAGTGATGCACGTCCAAACGAATGTGATAACACTCTATCTGGCGAGACGCGAGTTCGGCGTAACACGTTCAACGAAAGTCCCTTTCCTGCCAGAACCCCGCACGAAAGCAAATAGGGACCCGAAACCGGAACCTGAAACCATGATTGCCCACTCCCGTACCTTGAAAAAGCCCACCAGGTTACACGGCCGCCTGCAAAACTGATACCTCCCAACGATCATTGTCCATCTGAAGGACATCAATATAGCTGGAACTCCAAATAGTAATCATATTTGGATATATGTGGTTCTTCCACTTGTGGCAGCTCACAGTACTAATCGCTTTTGGTCAATGTGGAGTGTGACAGCGGTTAGAACGCAGAGGCCATTGCCCCTGCCACTGCTATGTACTTGGGGATTTCACTAGCTGAGTCTTGGCCGCTCGTGCCCGAATCTCTTCTGAAACTAAGTAACTGTTTAACTAGAAGGACTGTTTCTTACTTTCCAACCTGTTCGTCTCCAAATGAGCCTAGTATTAGGCCGGCCCTTTCTCTTAGTAGAGCGTTTTTCAGAGCGCACGTTCCAGCTGCGCACAACACGCCCGCCCCGCGCCTGGTGTCCTTGGCCAGGCCTTGGAACATGACCTCATCATCCGAGTGCCAGCCCACCTCGAACACATCGGAAGCGAGCGACTCGGTGGCTTCTTCGTCGCGCCGAACACATCGGGCGTTGGTCGGGGGGAGTTGGTCGCGGGGATTCGGATGGAATCTCCAATTGGAACGATGCACTTGTTCCTAGTAGTTTCTTGTTACTACTAGTCAGGCACTTGTTACTAGAAGCGATGCACTTGTTACTAGTAGCTTATTGTTATATACTAATGGAAAAGATGTGGACATTCCATTGCCACCTTTTTCATAGCCAATGGCCTTGGAAAGGTGTGTGTAGGACATTTCACCCTTGAGAAAAGTGACGCACCGTGACGGTATCGTTTTTGAGGGCCAAAGGATGAACAGGATGCAAAGAGGTTCATCATCATCATCATCCTCCTCATCCTCTTCCTCCTCCTCTTCCTCCTCCTCGTCGTCGTCCTTCTTCCCAGAACTTGTGATGAGCCTTTACCAAGTTGAGTGTTTGTGAGCTTGAGCTTATGAGCACTCAATAAGCGAGACTTCAGTGTCGACTTTGCGATGGTCGCAAAGCCGGGTCTTCGCACGCCGAACGTGTTCGGACCGGTGCGGCACGAGAAAATCAGTGGACTGCTCTCGGCCCATGATCAGCTATTGATGCTTGAGAAACAACGGATCCAAACAAACGGGAGTAGGAACGTGAGAAGCAACGCTCTGGCTCATCCATTGTTACATGTTGTTCAACCAATGCGCCTCCTCATTTTTTTAAAGAAAATATACATTAAACAAAAAAATGTTAAAAAAATAGTGCTTCTTCCAAAAAAAAACATAATCATATGTGTCTTTAATAGTTTTGCATAATTATATATAGAGAGATAGGTTATAAGATTCAGATGGATCGTGGGTGAGGTCAAAGCAGCTAGTACTTTGCCACGCGTGTCACCCATCAACAATGCCTGCCGCAGCGCATGGAAACCACACCGCGCCTCCTGACTTCCATCCTGGTAGATGTTCACGTTGCATGAGTTGGGATACTCCCCCTGGCCACGGTTCATGGAACAGGAAGTTCATGGCACAGTCTGACCTTGAGAATGTCTGGGTTGATTGAGAAAATCTTCGAGTTGGTAAGATCGCCAGTCGTGCGATGGGTTGCTACAAAAATGAAAATCACACGCCTTCCTGCCCTGCTGGTGATGTCCTTGAAACAAATCAAGAAGGTATTCGAAGAACATCGTTCGGCTACCAGGGCGACACTTCCAATGGCATGTTCTCAACGTGTTGATATCCTCAATCCAATCTGCAACATGCAAGTCTGAAAGGCCTGGTCCAACCTATGTCCTGCAAGTACTACGTAGAAACAAGAAGAACAGTTACTTAAGACTTGAACTGAACCAAAAAGCCGCTGTGTCTTCGGGGTCCAGCCCTGACTTCCCCCTCCTCTCTGCTGCAGAGCCTCAGGAATGCCGCAGAGCTTGCAAAGCTCCTTATCCAAAAATTTGCACGATCCGGTCACAGCGTTTCTTCCAAAAAAGACATCACGAAAGAGAAGCGACCAGTAGACTTGGGGACTGAGAGCCCCAAGTCTGTCTCTTTAGGTTCTGAACTCGTGATGTGGTCGGAGGTATCGGTCCTCTCTTTAAGAAACAGAAGCGGAGAGTGAAAGACGTCCCCGGCCGAAAAACTCCCAACACCCAGGGACTCCTGGCATCGCTACGAACGGAGCGATCGGACGCTACGAACGGGGCTCCTGGCCGTACTACTAGGAACAATGTTTGCTATTAGAAACAAGAAATAAATAGATTTAGAATTACAATTGATTTAAAGTCTAATTATATAGAATTTAATTAGAACATATTTTCAACCGTTCCCTTCGATTCGTTCCCCACCAAAAACCTCAAGGTCCGACCTCTAATCGATCGATCCTCGAGCTGACACGGGCTTGCTGCACGGCGCCCTGTTGCGCGCGCGGTGAAAGCCCCGGGCTCACCTCCCGGATCTCCATCATCACCTCCGGGTAGACCACAGCCGGAAACCTCGAAGAACATTCCGATCTGCTTGGGCAGTTTCCCAACTCACGAAAGATATAAGTCTCCAATCATCCCAACTAAGATCTGAAGTTGTGTTTGCGGTGGTTTGTAGTGGGATGATGTGTGCTCGTGGGGTTCGTTAATGAAACTGCTCAACCCAAATCTGAACCTTCCAAAATGGATGGGAAGTTCCTGGTGGCCGGCAGTGTAGCCCCTGTACTGCCAGTGTAGCTGATGACATCTTCCAGCAAACGCACGTTCGCCAGCCCTGTTCACTGTATCCCTGGCTCAAGAGAAGTCCGTCCTCTTTTGAGTTGAAATTTGGGGCCACATGTGAAATCGACGTAGAAACAATTATTTGTCCCAGTTTAGAATATTTACAATGAAATGTGTCTCAAATGTCATTTGGCGTTTTCCTCCGAAAGTTTGCGGGAGAAAACAAACAACAATTCAGACCTTGCTCAATCCAACTGGGTGGGTTCAGTCTGCAACCTTTCGCAGGCCGTGGGGCTTCGAGTGGTTTTTTGCGATGTAACCGGAGGTTTTCAGCGACGGTGAGCTGCTGAGATTGTTCTTCGCGACTACTACGACCAACAACAACAACTAATAATAATAACAATAATAACAATTCACCACCACCACCACCACCACTGCCTCACACAAGGCGGGTGGCGGAAGTTGCCAAGAGAAAAGCTCTACTCTAGTCCACTCTACTCGATGGTGGAACTCATAACTGAATCGATCCTTTGTGGCCGCCACAGTTGCAAACACACATGCATGATCTGATGCGAAACAAAAAACTGTGCAGCCCCAGTTAGAGGCGCCCCCTTCAAGGGTTGAGCAAGTCTCGAGTTTGTCTGAAACCGACATGTCACTCTTTGAGAAAACCGGGGTGGCCGCCCAAACGGCCCATCCCAGGCCCGCGGGGCCCGCACTCCAAGCCCGAATAGCGATAGGGCACGTCGGCACAGTCCTCCAAGAGGGCTTGACATCGATCGTTACTAGGAGCAAGGACGCTACTAGGGGCTCCTGTCCTTACTACTAGGAACAAGAAGCTACTAGGAACAAAGGACATCGCTACTAGAAGCAAGAAGCCACTAGTAGCAAGAGATTCCCGAAGACTCACATAGAAACTTTACCAATACTTTTTTTCTGCACGAAGGCCAGTGTCTATGTGGCACATCAGCTTTGACCACAAATCTTAAAAGGAAGATCCTCTTCCACACCTTGCATGGCAAACCATCCGTTTTTTCAGTGACAACCCAAAGAGCACCAGAGGAATCCTCGCTTATGTTCAGTAGGTCTCAGCGTCGGGGGAAGTCCCCTCAGTTCCTTTGGGTATCCTGCGGGGTGGTTTTGAAACTACTTATAAGGGTACACAGCCCTTAAGATGCCTGGCTCATGCCCGACGACCCAGTGTTGTAGCACTGTGCATCTTTCAAAGCATTCTGCTTGCTGAGAAGCAGAAGAATGGGGGAGTGCGTAAGGGTGCACAGCCCTTAAGGTGCACGCGTCATGCCACCAGAGGCAGTCTGAAACGTAGAGACGAAGCAAGGTTATGAGTTATGAGCAAAAGGAACCTCCAAGCTAATAGGGTTCCTTTTACTCCTAATGAGCATGGAAGTGGATGGCATGGCCCCTTGGATGACCCTGAAGTTCTCGACCAACAGGTGGCTTTAACTCCACTTCAATTTCAGGGAGCGCTACTAGTAGCAAGAAGGTACGCACGGTGGAGGCCATCGCTACTAGGTTGGAGCCCATTTCTACTAGGAACACGGTTCGCTACTAGGAGCAAGAAGCTCCGAACGGAACCAAGGGCATCGCGTCTCGAGTCCGGAGCGATCGGACGCGAGGGGAGCTCGAGGGGCTCCTGGCCAAAACTACGAACGGAACAAGAGGACGCGAACCGAACGTGATAAGGGAGCATTCTTACTAATTCTAATTTAATTCTAAAAGCTTCTTGTTACTAGTAGCGAATAAGGGTTGAGAATCCCGCGGGCCCCAACAAAAGGCCCCCCCGGTCTGGTGCGCGAGACCTCGACCCCTGTGACCTCGACCCCTGTTGAGAGCGGAGGAGCTTCAAGGGATCCAAAAGGTGTTGAAGACATGCTTCAAACAAGTTCTGTAGACCAGCTTCAAGTTTCGATACAGCTGTTGATGCCTTTTCAGTTTAACGCCTGATTGTGTAAGTTTGACCAGTTTAAGATTGTTTCAGCTGTCCGACATAATCATGTTTTAAGTTTGTGCCCTTGTGAGAAACATCGGTAGATGACAGAGATGGGAACAAACATGGAACAACCTCTATGACACCGAAAATCATTCCTACCACTCAAAAAGCGTCTGCCTGGAACTCTGGAATTCATGGCTTACGTGTTCTCGCGCGCGGGTTTCTTTGCCAAGTTTGTAGATCCTCGACCTCGACCGGCCTACAGTCAACCACCGCCCTCGACCGCTGCAAGTCCTCCGAGACATACCAGATCACCTCCCTGGGAACCCCAGGCAGCTGAATCCAATCGCCCTGGCAAACTGCTGAGCTGGTCACAGGTGACAGACTGAGGACCTTGAAGGGGGGTCAATTGATTTGCAAACCCAAGGGGGGTCAGTTGCAATTGCTTTGAGAGCTTATGACTACCAGATAGCTCAAAGTCATATGAGGGTATCCGCTTGCTGGTCAAACCGCTTGTGTTGGCTGAGCTACGCTTGTCCGCCAACAAAATGGCAATCCCCCGCGGAGCCATGCTCTTCCAAAATTAATTGACCAGGCGATTTGTAGCTCTTTAATTGACAAGAAATCGCAACGAGAAAAACAGGGCAAAAGCTTCAGGTCCCCGATCACCAACATGATGAATTTCTAGACCCAAATTCTTGATGTTGTATTCTTTTTCCACAGAAACGTCGTTCATCATGTACCACAAAGCAAACAGCGCAGTTTCCAAAGGAACTCCCAGCATCTCGGACACGTCTCGGACCAGGTTCCTCCCTCGGGGCCTAGAAGCTCTGCTTGGGGGGAAAGAAACCATCGCTACCCTCTTCGCCCCCTGAGTTGGGCCCTCTACATCCAATTCCGCCTGCTCCGTGAGAGTCTTCATCCAGCGGCGGCATGTCTCCTTGGGAAAAGCGCCCAAGTTCACCTCGGGGAAGCAATGTGGCAACGGCATGGGACGTGAAACACTATCTGTGGATACTGAATCACCTAACAACAAATGGGAAAACATGACAAGCGACCCCCGCAAACCCCGATCTCTCATACTGGAATTGTTTGACACAGATTGTTTCATGGCGATGAAGAGTATAGGTGCCCGGAGAATGTGCGGGCCAATGGCGAAGAGCGTAGCCAAGAATCCCCAATCCAACACACCAAGTCTCCTGGCGGTTAAGCAACAAAAACTTTCCGACAGGAATATACCCCATTCAAAAAATTGTGAATTGTATGTCTTACTCAGTCCACAGATGCCCGAAACAACAAAAAGGCCATGCGTGTGAGTGCACGGCGGTTCTTTTTGGTTGCTTGGGCATAAAACACGATGAAGGCCGCAGAGGAAGCCGGACAATTTTTCACATTTAATCTTTGTTTTAGCTGTTGTTCTTTGACTAGAGCTCCAAAGGTGAAGCTAGCATAGCGCACACCTCCTAGGAACTTCTTTGGCTTCCTGTACCGGAAACACAGCACGCCCTTTCACTACGCAATCCGCGCGCCCAACGCAACGACATCTCCACCACCTCCCCCCCAGAATTTATCCTTCAAGTAGACTCTGGAGTGCGCTCGACAACGAATGCAATTGTGACCGCGGCCGACGCAGTCGCGTGGTGGAGACTGTAAACCCAAGTGGAGTTTAGATTGTTGCAAAGGTTAATTCGTTCAGCAAGGGGAAAAATTGGATGGTTCCTTTCCTAACTGTTGAAGGAATGTGCGGATTCATGGTGAGATTGCACGTTGTTCTACACCTCCTCACAGAAGCTATTCCAGCTCGTTGGTGAGCCACCCCACACTCACTGACCCACATTGGGGATCAGCTTTTTGTGAATTTGACCATCCCAGATTCAGCGGCATTGGAGGTGATGGCGCCTTTCAGGGTTGTTGCAGCTCGTCGAGTTGGTGAACTTGACCATCCCAGGCTCAGTGGCCCACATTGGGGATGGTGCCTTTTAGGGTTGCAGCTCGTTGGGGAGTTTGACCATCCAGGCTCAGACTTTGACCCATTGACCCATTGCGGGAAATACAAGACTCGTGACGGTGCCCTTGCCTTTAGATGAAAGTAGAACATATTCATCCTGCAGAAAACCACAGGGCTGCAAGTACGCATAGCGGCTACTTGGCGAGAACGGGCCCTCTGGGAGCATTGCTCGGAAGAAAGCGTCCGTTCCCTCCCCATGCACCCCAGCCAACCGAGCAGTTGGCGCCGGCGGAACACTCGGCGGCCATCAAACAAGACTTGCGCCAGCAAGGTGGGGCTCGCCGGACGTGACCGCATGCACTTAAAAAATCAGCAGCCCTGAACAAAGCGCGCACGCTACGGCCGCTATCTCCTTAGGTCGAAGACGTGTCGGGATAGAAAGAAAAGAAATACTCAGTCTCATGATGAAAAAGGACATATCAAGGGAGGACTTGTTCAACGTTTTCAAGGATTGAATAGCGTAATGAGATGGGGAAAACTCTTTCCTGTGCACTTCCCAGTAGAATTGACACTTCAACATTCAAATCAAGTTGCCCCCAACTATCGAGTTTTTGCAAGTTCTTACATGGTCTATTACCCCACAAGCTCCTTGTCAAACTTCGGCTTTCAGGCTCGTGTGCTTTCAGCAATGCTCTCAAAGCTGAGTAGAACTCCTTTGGAGTTGCAGGCATCACAGACTTCTAAAAAACAAACTGAAAGATTATGTCTTTCAATGCCGGGTCAAACTTTCTGTGACCTTTGGCCTTTACACTGACGGGAAATGTGTGTCCCAGGGCCCAGGAATCGTTCAATTCCAGCCATGAAGAAACAAGGTACATCCCCTGACACATACGCATGAAAAGAATCACGAGGAAACTAGAAGCGTTGAATGGCATTGAAGGACCCTTTGTAAATACTTTTCCGGGGAATACACCGTGATTAAGAACATATCCTGCATCCACAACGGCCCGTTTTTATCCCAGCCCCACCCCGCCCACCCCCCAGAACCCGCGTTTATCACACAAAAATAAAGATCGATGACATGTCTGAAAAAGATTAAAAAGACCACGGCCCGTTATGGGCGGTGTTCCAACTACCAAGGTTTCAGGGTCGTTGCTTGCAGTAGTGAGCATATGCTCCTCGGGGCCCATCATTCCACGACACGTCCACCAGTCCGGGAGCGGCACCCAGAATGGCTTGCGGCTGCAAACTCAATAGGATAGTTATCGCTAACGACTGACGCGGTCCCAATCTCCCACAACCGGGCCTTTGCTGGAGTGGCTTGGCCAACATCCGCTGCAGGCCCGCAGTGGCACCAGCGTCCCACGCACATCCCTTTAACTCAGTGCGCTTGCGGACGATGTTGTTCACAGCCGCCCGCAACCGCCCCGCCGTTAAAGGTAAGCGGGAGGCGTGCATACTCCGCGCGCTTTGCCCTGATCAACGCATACATTTGGTTGAGAACAGATGCGACAAAAATCTTCCGCCCTCTTCTTTTGTGGCTTGTTGGCCTGCCAGCTCCGCGCCGTCTCCAGCGTCGAGCGGGCCACCGGCTCATCAGCGTCAACGACTCGGCGTTTTTTCTGCGCTTAATCTGGTAGATGTCTGTTCAAAGCTTAGTTGAAAGGATATGGGATCAGTCATACGACAAAATCCTCTTCCCTGTCAACATATCTGCTGCCAGGGTAGAGCTCTTATGGCCATAAACCGGCGGCTCCTCGCGACGCGTCGGCAAGCTTTTGTGACGCCCATCCCCGAAAAAGCGACCAAGTCAGTGTCAACACTCTCACGGCCACATTATTTCAGTCCTCAGGACGGGGCAGCGCCGCTGCCGCTGGAGCCTCCAAGGCAGGCTGCTCGAAGGCCCCATGCCTAAGAAGCAGCATGGTCTCCTTAGGAGACCACATGGCCTTGAAGGTTTCACGGCACTCCTCCATTGCCCTTCTACAATCAGAGGAAGGTCGGAACTTGGACAGAAAAAGGCTTGCTGCGTTGACAAGTTCAATCCCACTCGCGTCTCGGCGAGAAAAGACCCGTCAGAAGAGTGCCAGGCCCTGAACATGGCCTCATCAAACAGGTGGTATATATATATATATAAGTTAGAAACATCCACCAAACTTCCTTATTACTGTTTTGTTGTTGGTTGTTGATGATCATGTACAGAAGGTCCCAATTATTGGTGTGTGATCTTGGGCGATTTTCTCACTCGGAGGCGCCCATCGGGCATTAGAACCCAATGAGTTGTTCCCGTTGCTTTTCGCAACATGCAGAAACCCAAGCCCTGTCTGTGTTCGAACATCGTCCAAGAGGCAGAGTCCCAACCTTCCGACTCATTTGCCACCCAGTCCTGGAGTTTGGACTCCAGTCCTGGCACCCGTCGGCCAGTCCTTTCCCTTCACTGTGGCCCTGGCACCGGCAAAGCTCCTCCGCTGCTCATCCTGAAGTCGAGGAAGGGTCGGATGGCAGGAGGAACCGTCGAAGCCTGCCAGCTACAAAGAGGGATGGAGAAGACTTGCATCACACGGGGCTTTCCATGTTTTGTTTCAAGAAGTCTTCCAACGACCACAGGCAAGGTGTGGGAAATCTGGCGAAAACTTTTGGCCCTGGGCAATCAACTTACTTACTTTGACTCACTAAGCAAAGAAAGAAAGGGCATCGCTACTAGTAGCTTCTTGTTACTAGTAGCAAATTAGCTACTAATAGCGATGCACTCAGCTACTAGTGCAAGTAGGGTGGACAAAAGGAACAAGTGGCAGCTCATGGCTCCTACGTCCCAACCGCTCCGCAGACCGTCCACCGACGCATGCATCCAGAGATCCGACCACAAACCGCTCTCCAAAGAACCAAGTACTACTCGACGCCGCCTTAAGTAGAATCCCACAGAATAATCCTTATCACCCGCTCGAAGAACCAGAAAACCACGAAGAAATTCTCACTTAGCCAAACCGCCAAACCCCAACACTCCATGAGTAGGCCGACCCGCCTGCACGGGGTATTGCCAGGTCCAAGGCACAGGCGACCTGAAAGCAACAAAAACGACATGTGTTCCACCTGAAACCGTGGTGACTGTGGTGTTTCCAGGGGGTCGAACCCAAAACGAAGGCTCGGAAGCTGCCTGCTCGAACTCGGCTGCGCGGTGCGCGACCGGAGCGAGGCATGGGTCGCACCGTGAGAAGTGCGCTACCGACTTCATTGCCACCCAGACCGCCCCCAAGAGGTTTCTTGGGCGAAAAAAGAGGCTTACAAAGAAAGGACCAATCCTGCGTGCGCTCAGTGTGAAAGCACACACACCTGGAGTGGTACCAAGAACAGCACTCGTTGGAAATGCATCTCCAAGGCCATCCTCCATCCTCCAGGCCTTGCCACCTCCGGGCCTCCGGGCATCTCACCGATGAGCTGCAAAGGCACCTGGCGCAGCGACGCGGGGTGCGACGGGGGGGGGAGAAGAAAGAAGAGATTAAAACCTATACTAGCTTCTTGCTATGATGGCCTCCAACCTACTAGCGATGGCCTCCAACCTAGTAGCGATTCCAAGAAATATGACCTGCCAAGTGCCTGGTGATCGTGTCTAAAGTTTCCAAAGTACTTCAGTTTCTTGACTGAAACGAGATCAGCAGCTAAAAAGCCCAGGATGCACCCAAAACATGAAGCGAGAACAAAAGAAACGACTCAAGAGTTGCTGGATGGGAAATGATTGTGCATGGGGCCCGCCCAGGAATCCCCATTCGGCCCTTGTGAGACCAGCCATCTTCGAAAAATAATGGAAGAAAGATGAAGAAAAGCTCCAACTCGACAAAGGGTTTCTCAGAATTGAAGACCCTCACCTGTCGAAAGAAGAAACAACTGGGCGATGAGGCTTCCTTATTTGACTGTCGAGACGTACCTCAAGCAACTCCAAAAAAAGGCGGACCAATGGACCCGTTGGACCAGGTGACCCAAATCCGTGACGCCGACGCCTCAGCCCTGGAGGCCTCCTGGAAGCTTCGCGACCTCACGAGGTCGGTCCCCGACGTAGAGCGACCGAGACCGGACGAAGTGACCGCCTGGAGGGTGGTGTCGGAACCCGGCGAGGGCGGTTGGGGTCTGTAACTAGGGAGATGGTCCCTTTGGTTCGGGACATCGACCGCAAAGACATCGACCTGCTGGAGGGTTTCCCTCTTGAATCCACACCCGGAACAAAGCAGTGCACCCGAAAGAAAGACCAAAACCCTTCTGAGCAACCCTGCAGTCTTACACCACCACCAAAAACCCATCACTATTCATACTCGCCTACTCGCCCGTCTTAAAGCAAGAACTGCAAGTAGCACACAGGAACTTCATCGATGAGGATTCTCCACTGCGCTCCTCCCATCAGGAAACGCCATTTCACCGCACTTTGCAATTTGCCCTTGCCGGGTTCTGGTCAGTTCCAGCCTCAAGTAACTGCACAACCTCAGAGAGACAGTAGCCTTTCTCACCAACAGACAGTTGCCGCATCTTTGTGAGCTCCAGCCTCCAGCAACAACCGCACAGCTTCCAAGTGACCATACAGAGCTGTGCCATGAATAGGTGCATTGAGTGCATTGTTGCTGTTTCTCCCTTTCCGATTCGGATCCTGTGGCTTCTGGAGCAAACGTTCGAGTTCGCACACCCTATTCTCCTCACATGCACGCAACAGTTCCTCCTCCACTATCTCGTGGGGGGCACAAAAACTCAAGATTACCAACTGCACACGTGGTAGAGGACATAACGGCATGTCATCTTGCAATTCACCAATTTCGTCAGTCAGGAGTCTTTGTCGAAACCTTGAGCATCCAACCTGGGCTTGCTTCAGATCACGAACAGTCCTTCCGCTTTCCACCATACAACGCACTTCATCCTCCTCAAGCTGAGCTACTATGGTGCCGGACACAGCCGTCACCTGCATCTCTGAGAATTGGAACTTTGGAGGTGTGGCTTGGAATTGAGCCGCTGTGAAAACTGCCGAGAAAACGATGTCGAGCAAAGCCACGCCATCTTCCACCACGAGGAGCCATCACCCATACGCATCCCCCTCAACTTCAGAGAGAACCAGCTCTGCAAACCGTTTTTCCCGCTCAAACCGATCACTCTGATCACTCAACAAAATGAGGAAAACACGTGGTTCCTATCATGCTTCCAGCACCACCGCTCCGGCATCTTGGTTGAGTGCGCCTGGATCGGAGGATCTCTTCAGCTGCTCCTGCCAGGCAAATGAAGTGTTGAGAGGCTCGGATGCATTGAGAAACCAAATCGAATGTGACATGCGATTCATCGAGAAGTGAACCAGTCTCAGTGTTTACATTGGTCTAACAGCCCAAAGGCTCGGAAATCACCCGTCCACTCCATCCCTTCCCATTCGTTTCGTTCGGAACAGCTGGGGAGAGGAAAGCACTGATTGGAGTAGCTGGGCTTTGTGTGTTCTCTAAGAATGCTGCGAGTTGGACACGATGCACACATTTTCTATCCTGGGTAGCTGTATCCCATTCCCGCCGACTACCTGTGATCAGAGATGGCCTATATATAAAAATATACCAAATCAATGATGCTTGCAGCTTTAAAATGGGTAAAGGCAGTGAGGACGCAGTCTTAAGTCACATCTCTTTGCGTCCACGGTCGCACCGTTGTCCCGTCCGTCTCACACGGTCGCGCCGTATCACACGCTCCCCAATCACGGCACTCGGCCTCCATCCAACGGTACCAACGAGTGCCAGTGGAGGACCATGGACCGTACAAGCCGGATCAAGGGCTGTCTTGAAGCAACACCAAAAGTGGAAGAACAAAGAAAAAACATCAGGAAACCAATAGAAACCAATAGAAACCAGGAAATCAGGAAAGCCGCCTTTTCCCGAAAAAGGACCCACCTGACTTCCGGTGTTCTCCGGTTTTCAAAACCGCCGCTTCCTCTCGGCTTGGTTCGGTCCCGTTTTGGGCCTCCTCGGTCCAAGCGTTGGGCGACCACTTCCGCTCGCTCGCCCCGGCGGTTCTTCTGGTCCTCCGGTTCAAGCCAGGAAGGCCAAGAAGGAGTGGAACGGGAGGGCCAAGAAGGAGTGGTACTCTTTCTTGTGGGAATCGACACGTGTTTCGCAGTCCGCCCACGAAGCCTTGCAAAAAGCGCCCAGTTGGCGCTTGGGTGGCTGCCCTTTTCTGGGTGTTTTGGGGCGGTTCACCCACTGAATCTCAGAGAAGTGTGCAAAACGTCCAAAACTTTCGATGGTCCATCACGTGTTTCTGAGAGGCAAGAACCCCGGGGTCGTTTTTCAGCTCTGTGGACCAACACAGCATGGTGGTCCACGAAACCAGTTGAGATGGTGTTCACTGGTGGGAGTCCAGGTCAACCGGTGTATGATATCTCCATTGTTCCAGTCAACCATTGTATGGAACATTGACCTCCATGGTCAATGCCTCACGCTGTTGGAAACACATGGAGGATGGGTCAAAACCTGCTCCATGGGACGGTTTAGGTTGACCATGTCCAGTGCCATGACCCACAGCCACGGTTCCCCAGCTCAAGTTCTTGTTTCTAGCAATGCCAGGAGCCTACGTTCGTAGTATTCTTGTTACGTGTCGTAGTAATGCCCTCATTGTTCCTAGTAGCAATGCGTAGTTCTCATGTGTCTTCGACAGCCAACGTCACTCCGTCACGCCGAGTCGCTACGACTTGCCAGCCGCTCTGCAGCAACAAGGAGACCACCTGCATGCACCGGGCCATCAATAACTCATAATCTTAAATGCCCTTTAAAAAGTAACTAAAGATATATATAAATAGAGTAAATTAACAACAAACGTGTTTTAAAACAATGATTCAAGTAGGATTGGTACCCTGCAAATCTGTTGAGATGTATACCATTGTATACCCATTCTTTGGGGGGCGTTCTTTTCTGGGCCTGCAAAAGAATCCGGCTGAACGCTCACAAGGGAACAATCAGTAGGATGCAATGTGAGATTCTCTTCAGTGTGGGTCAGCACCACGAGCACTTGGAGATTTGGATCCAGTACGGGCCAACCCTGCTGGTGAAATGAATCCTGGTTCAGGTCGGCTCACCAAAGCTCACCAGCTAAGCTGAAAAACTTCTGACTGATCAATGCTAGCATCTAAAAAGATCAACCATGATCAACCTAATCACATCAATGACCATGAACCGCGCCAATCAACATACTACATCACATTTAAAAAAAAGGAATCGACCCATCTCACGGCTCCGGTCACGGCTTGCCATGCTTTGGGCGGAGTGCCGGCGCAGCGGCTCTTTTTTCAAACCATGGAAGGTTCGCACTCTGGCCGCACCACAATCTCCACATCAGAAAGGTCCTCCTCTTCATCCACCAGGTAGGTGTCCTGGTAGCACCAAAACTGGCGAAAAGTAGTGGAAAGAATTGAAAAAAAAAAGCTTGGAAGAGTTGCTTGAGTTGCGATGCGATGCTCATCTGAATCTTCCAGAGGTCTTGCCGTTAACCAACAAGTGTCTACATCTTCGGCCACAGGGCTTGCCGTTCTGCACTTAGAGAACTCAAAACTCCAGTCCTCCACCTCCTCTCCGTGCGGGTTCACCGGGCGCGGCATCTGCCGATGGCTCACCATCACGTCCAGCAATTGCCTGACGGACGACTTCGCTCTTCGTCTGACGGACGACGGACTCACGAAGCTCGCGTCTGCTTTCGCACGCGCAGGGCTCACGTGAACGGCCTGTCGTTCACGGAGACGGACGCGCAGGGCGTGAACGGCATCGGTCGCAGAACGCGTCGAGACGCGTCGATCGAATCTGGGTCCAGTGGCACGACTCGATCCTCTGCATCGATGGCGTCTGCATCTTCCTCAGTCGCGAACCCGTTTGGCGCTCCAAGTAGTTGCCTTCTTAGAAGGTTTTTGGGAAGGGTTTAGAGGGTCCAAAGACCGAGGAGGTACGTACGACTGGAGGGTGTTTTTTTGTAAAAAAAGATACACAGCGATACAGCGCTTCATTTCACCGGTTCAAAACTCCTGAAGCTTCGCTTCACCACCTGCCGCCACAGGAAGCGGAAGAACTCATCTCATCCTGTTTTGCCGCGTGGCGTTCACTACGAAGGTTCGTTCATCCTCCTGGCAGGGGCAGATGTGGTAGGGCAAGACTTGCGGAGCTCTGGCGGTCTGGGTATGTCTGGGTATGTCTGGGTGTGTCTGGCTTGATGTTTGCATACGGCTGCATCAGGACCTTTCATCTTCGACCTTGCAGTGACTCGGTTGAAACCATGTGCTCCTCCCAAGTACACAAGGGCTGCAGCCGCCCTTTCTCGTCCACGACGGCCAAGCCCAGAGAGGTCGATTCTGGACCATCACGCCTGGGATGCGGAAGAGGATGCCGGTCCAGGAGCTCAGTCCAAACAAAGATGTTGGACGTCCCATCAGATGTCCAATTTGGTGGGGAAATGGTCGCTCTGTACAGATCAACGATTGGCGAGGAGTATTCCTGCACCAGCTCAAAGAGAGGGTGTTCCACTTTTTAATATTCACAGTGTAGTTCCCCCATCAACAGCAGAAACATATCCATCAACCAATGTGAGTAGACTTCGCTTGAAGTAGATTCCATCTGAGCTCTACACGCAGCACACGAGGAGTCTGAACAGCAGTGTGCGTGCCTTCCCTCAACGAACATGGAAGCAGGAAAAAAGAACTGCTTGTACAGCACAACAGTCTTCCAACCAGCCATTTTATCTATCTACCGCTTACCATCTGTCTTGAACAGGTCCCAAATCAACTCAAATCCACTCATCAGACTCATCAGTCAATGTCAATCAGTCAAGCTCCGAAGTCGTATCTGTTGTCAATCCAAGTCACTGGTACTTCACCACCCAGCCCTCCACCAGGTTCTTCGGCACGCAGCCGCACACGACTCGAGGTCGGGTGGAACCTGAAGCCACAAGTCACACGGAGTCCCCAGTAACTGGTCGTCAGTGTCGTGTCGTGGATGTGCCTCTTGAACACGCGCGTTCAAGTGCTTGACAGGGGTGTCCAGAAATCCCAAAGTCCTAAAGCCATCGAAAGCCTGCCACACGGATGACTTGTCAGCCTTGGCCGAGCTCCGGATCGGAATCGTGGCGCCTCGGCGCAAAGCCACCAGCGACATCCAGCTGATCACGGGCATCGTCCAATCTGGACGGCCTCCTTTCGGCAGGAGCGGAGCTTGAAAAGCAGGGTGTTTCAGTTGGGATTCACTAGCCGAGCGATTTGGGCACTGAACACCACACCATTCCTTTCATTTTCAAGGCTGATGAAGTGATGAAGGAGTCCAAGCAGACCATCCAACAGATCAAACAAGCCGAGCGTTTTGAAGAGTGCCAGCCCTGGGCACAGTCCCAAAAGCCTCCAAACGCTCAATCTGGTCCAGCTGCCCTTTTGCTCAAACTTGCATGACAGTGAATTGATGTGAATTTGTGCATTATAAACATTTATAAACTATATATATTGTTCTGCTTCTGCGTCATCATCCACATAAAGGACCTATCAGGTTGTTTGGTCATTGTCCCCCTTTTTGTCAGACGAGTCCAATGAGGCCACACCAGCGTGGGTAGGTACGTCCCGAAGTGTGCCCCGACCAGATCAACACCGATCCAAAAGAAGCAAGTGCATCGCTACGAACGTAACAAGGGCATTACTACTAGTAGCTAGGGCATCGCTACCTGTAGCTTCCTGCTACTTATAGTGGCCTCCAACCTACTAGCGATGGCCTCCACCCTAGTAGCGATGGCCTCCACCTAATAGCAATGCCTCCAACCTAGTAGCTTCTTGCTACTAGTAATGCCCTGGGTACTAGTAGCAATGCTCTCGTTACTCTAAAACTTCGCACTTGATCTGATCATCTATCATGCAAGTAGACAATGGCCCACTCCAAAACGATCTTCCCTTACGAACATAGCGTTCTCCACGTTCACGTTTGCTAGAGAGAGAGGATGATAGAGGCTAAAAGGGTGGAAAAGCAAAAACGGTGAACCTCCACCTTTTCTCTCTGTAGACTCTTGATCAATAGAACCTCCCCCAGACATGGATTGGAAAAAGTCTTACTCATCAAGAATCTACAGCAATTACCCCCCCTTTTTGCCTCGTCGGAGCCGACGGCTGGTCCCACAAACGCCCTCAGCCGCCCGCAGACCGAGGAAGCTCGTCTTCGGCGAGGCCTGGCGTTTTCGGCGAGGGGAAGCTCGTGGGGGGGTGGAATTGGGTGGTCGCCAAGACTCTTGATCAAAGGTCCTTTCCCATCCGCCCAAGAGAAAATGTCAGCAGAAAGCGTCCAAACCGCTTCCAGCGCGACTCGTGCTCAATGATCTTGGTCAAACTCTCCGCAAAGACCAGAGGGTTCCGTCGATTCCGGCCGGGAGGGTAACTAGAAGCTACTAGGTAGAGGCCATCGCTACTAGTAGCTCCTGGCATTACTACAGGGAACAAGAAGCTCCGAACGTAACAAGACGGGCATCGCGACCGACTCGTCCGGAGCGATCGGACGCGAAGCGAACATGTCTTCAGACTGTCTCCGCCAACACGGCCGCATCGTCCGGCCACGGTCCTTCGACCTCCCCGGCGGCCTCCCACGGTGCTCGCGGTGGAAGAAGCTCCAGGCTCGTGGCTCCGGCGATGAGGCGGCCCGGCATGGATTCTCCGTGAGGGAATGCTTCGACGCGAATTCTTCATATTCCTGGTCCTACCTATGGTAGCCTCCGGTTTTTCCTTGCGTCGGACTCATCTTCTGAAACACAGGCGAAAAGCAAGCTACTAGCTGCTAGCTACAACCCCAAAGCTTCGGTGGTCAGGAGCCCAATGTGTCCGTCAGCCTGTTTGCTGACGAACTGGAAAACAAGACACGAACAAGGACCTAAGACGGCCCTTGTTCGACGACATGGGGCCAAAGGGGGCGTCTTTCTGCGGGTCGAAACAGAATACAATGAAAGGATCGTCCTTCTCGGGCTCACAAATGAGAGGATTCTCACAACCTCGCGGACTTGAAAGGGTCCCCAAGTCTACAGCTGAGCTACAGCTGAGCTGTACTCCAACGGATGCGCTACTTGAGCTCTGCGAAGGCTGTTGGTCATAGGACTCTTGTATCATCTCACTCCTGGTGTTTCACAAATCTCGTATTTTTTCACTAAAAATTGATCACTTGTAGTGGTAACTCTAGGTCACAAGGTCTGCAAGGTCGCCACTATGGTCTCTCAACGTCACGCTCGTTGGAGGTGCCGCTTCGCCCTTCTTGCGGTGAAGAGGCTGCGAAGGGCGGTCCACTTGGTGAAGCTAGCTGCAGCTAGCAGAGTCCTGTCCGGCCACCTTTACTCATGGATACTCATGGCATTCTGTATTTGACTTGGATTTTAGCTTGTAAGATGAGGAGACCAAGTTGCAAGTCCTGTCCGGTCAAGGAACACGGAAAGGCGTTTGGTGAGGGTCCGCCGACGACCTATTGACTTGCTTGCTTGCTTACTCACTAGATGCCTCCATGATGCCACTGGTGTTTGCGCTGGCAGTCAGTCCGGGCAAACCCATGGAATGCCACAATAATAACATCCTTCCAGATGCAAAACAACAGATGGGACGACTGGCCACTCATCAATTGGATCAACACACATCCTGCTGATGAATCTGTGTTTGGAACATTAACAATTTGCCTCTGGCCGGCCTATCCTGAAGACTGACATGGTCCTTGCCAAAACTGACCTACGGCCTACAGCCTAACCTACATATACATATGGGAATCCTTTGAGGCACCGCTGGGGTGTCAATTCCGCTCACCAACCATCTACCCTCCCTTTTTGGGGGGCCATGCAAGACCCTCCAGACCCTCCAGGCGACCCTCCTCACCTCCTCCGCCTGCTCACGCCGTGCCGCCGCGCGGGCGGTCTCGCCCGCCGCCAGGTGGAAGAGCGTGTTGTCTGAGAGCGACCCGGAGAGAACGGAGCGACCCGACCGCGGATCCTGGGAGCTATTAGCTCGGATGGAGTTCGAAGTTCGAGCTTGAAGAAAAGAGGTGGAGAGAGAGGCCCCCAAAAGGTTTGAAGATGTTTGACAGCTGAGACTTTTTGGGTCCACCTCAAGATGACGAGCGTCGACACCGGCTGGATTTGCTGAGGCCACGCACCCTCTTTGTCCGTCAAGGCCTGAAAAGGGCCGAGGCTGACCCACATAGTGGTCCCAAAATGGATAGAAAGGGTTTCGGTTTCGAATACATTTGTAGTGGGAATCTACTCTTCTATCTATTTGGGAGTCTATACACAGCTCGACCTTCTGTGGACAGCCCCACAAGGACCAAGAATGGAGGGAGACCCACAACGAACCTCGACATCCTCGCGGACCCGGACCGGGTGACGCATATTTAAATGATGCAAAAAAAGAAAGCGACTAGGAGCAAGGTGCCACGCTACTAGTAACTAAGTGCCTTACTAGTAGTAACAAGAAGCTAGTAGAAACAAGGGCCTTACTAGTAGTAACAAGTTCACCGTGATGTGATGTTAAAATTGAAGTTGAACACAAACAGTACAAGAAAATTGCATCGCTACTTTCGTAGCTTCTTGTTACTAGTAGCCTCTAGCTACTAGTAGCTAGAGGCACTTGTTCCTAGTAGCGATGCACCTTGTTTCTAGCAGCTTTATATTATCCTCTACAAACTGGATCAAAATGCTGGTTATCTTGGTTCATTCCCCGCCCGTTTCGGCCGGCTTGTTCGTAGCCCGCATGCAGCCCGGCCACAGCACCCGCTGGCCAGCGTCGCAACAGCCGGCGGACCTCATCGACCTGGAGGCAAGTCACACAAGCAAGGTATTAAATGCCTAGCCGCAGTCGTAGAAAAGCTGCGTTGGGCTTGAGCGACCTGTTCTAAAGTTGTTGTTGCATGTTGTTGCCGTTTTCTGAAGGAGGAGGCTCCTTCAGGTACACATCACATCCAGATCCTCCTCATCCAGTACCAGCCGAATCCAGATTCGGATGGAAAGCACATGGTCAGGAGGTTCTAGAAACCACACGAGAAGGACGGTGCTGGATCAAGACACATCGCAAGACGTTCCAATGTACTATGCCTCACACCCGTAACTTGCTGATGAATCTCAGCCCAACCATTCAGGTCAGTCCATCTGTCTCTCCTCCCTTCGAAGGAGGGGTCTAACTGGGGGATGTCCCCCTGAAGCAGATCCAACCGTTCAAAACGGTGCCAATGCGCCTCGAAGTGCTTCACTGCCCAGGCCAACTGCTCTGCCTGGCCGACAGGTCGACCTGCAAAGATGTTTATTCAGACAATCTAAGTAAATATGCCGAACAGTGGACCACACTACCCACGAGTATAACATATTCACCAAACAGGTCTTACCTTACCATACTCCATGTAGTCACCCAATACATATTTACGCTGACCCTTTAGACCACCCCAATGTAGGTAAATATGCCAGTCCCAGACAGGGTCGTGTCTGGGTTATGCAACGTACTTGAGTTTGGCAGAGGTGTTCAGACTTCCTCTGCCAAGTGCATGCGCTTACCTGCAGGGTAGTCCAATTCCAGCCAGTGCTGGCTTGAGCAGCTGCTTGGATTGCTGCGGATGGTTATTGACCACTCCAACCACAGCTCGGCCATGCTCAGCCGTGCCTGAGCACCGCCAGGCCGCAAAGCGGAGAAGCGGCCCTCGTAGCGTGGCGGGGGCACCTCAGTAGGGGCGTGTGTCAGAGACTCAAGGAACTTGTAGAGCCAAAGGTGGGAAACATGCGTATGTTCAGGGCTTGTTGCACCCTCACCGAGGAAACCCTTATAACTTATAACCACTTCTCACGCGGCTTGCTGTGTCACCGGGCAAGAGCACCGTCGAAAGAAGTTCTTAGACCCCCTCACAAAGCCAAAACACTGGCAAGGTGGAAGATGTTCTGCTTCAGGTTAATGGTTGATAATGCAAGGTGGAACTCCTGCACCGCCCGTCACACCGTCACGATGATGCACCACCTACAGATTGGAGCTTCGTGGTCGCCCCCTGAGCTTCTCGCGTAAGGAGACTCCTGGCAACAGGAGTAAAGCGGCGTGAAAAACGAGACTCAAACTAGCAGAATTACCCATCTATCGGTTCATTGCCCAATGTCTGCAAGAACCTGAAGTTCTTCAGGGTTTGGGGAGAGTGCTTAGTTCTCCCATGCGGGTGGAATTGTCGTGAGCTTTGGGAACGTAGAACTCAAGGAAAAAAGACATCAAACGACCTCAAAAACCGTTCTGAACGAGGTCGTCTCCTCAGTCTGCCAAAAGCGCTGGACTTGACGATCCATTTAAATATGGGTGTAAAAGACCTCGTGCACCCGAAAATCCGTGCAGCAATCTCAGCAGATCGGGCAGTGGATGGTTGGATCTTGACAGGCTATATGTCTATCCGCTGTGGATTCAAAGGATTCAGGAAAAAAATCCAGACATGTCCCACGACCAGAGGGATTCTTCGGTTCCTGTTCGGATTTGCACGTTGGAGCAAGTCTCTCCAACTTCATCTTGACCGGAACTTGTCTTGCGCCAAATGGGTCGATCCGGTCTATCCGAACGGACTCATAAACTTCCTGCCGACTTGCCCAGGTCTGTCTGTTGGCGCCAAACACCCTTTTCACCGCACTGGTGGGCGGAGCTTCACTTCCAGCTTCTTCCAAACGAAGGGCGCAGGGTCCTCACTGAGGCTCCGGAAGCCCAGAGGCTTTTGGGTTCTCATGAAGAATGTCCAGTGAACTCCAACATAGACAGGAAAGTGAGCTACGGACAGTTTATTTGGTAGACAAATCGTGACAAATCCCTCTACTGGATGGTTGTAATCCCCCTAGAACAGCTCAGTTGTGAATCCCATCTGTCTTTCAAACCGTTTTGGACTCGGAGACCAGAGGTGTGTATTATATCATTTGGACTACCTGGACTTTCGGAATTCAGCAGGGGCTGGTGCATGGGCGGATTTCGTGCAAAAAGTAGACATACTATATAATATAAACACACCAGGGTCATCCTGTCTGGGTGTCCAATAGACTACCCTACCTTACAGGCCTCCAGACAGGGCACCCAACTAGGAAGTGCTAGGCATTCGGCCTGTTCCTTCCTTCCCGGCAGTCCAACTTCCTGGTCTCTGTCGTCCAAGACTTGTGCTGACCTCCAAGGGTCAGCAACCTGCCTCACCAATCGATGACGCCCAGCAGGTCAGCGTCGTTGGATTTCAGCTGTTCTGCCAAGCTCCAACAACTCCCCTCCCGTTCCGTGGCAGCCCTCCCCGCACCAGTTGGTCCTGCCCCCAGAACTGAGTGCTCGCAGGAAGGCAAAGTTTTCTATCGCCTCAACGTGAGCAACACCTGGAGGACCTTGTACAGCCTCACGGCGGGGTCATGGTAGACGTTGATATCCATCAAGTTGAGTGCCGGACGGTCCTCTCGTTGCCCGGTCCATGGTGCTTCAGGTCGCTCTCGCTTCGCGTTTGCTGCGCGCCGCTGCGCGTCCGGTCCACCGGACGTCGCGTCGTTCAGGCCCAAGGGGCGATGCAGAGACTCCCGCAGCAGGTTGCCCAGCCTCAGAGTGAAGAAACGAGATCCACCCAGTTTCAGGGCGGTCCCGAACTCCTGAAAGAATGGATCTAATTGACAAATAGATAGAGCCATCGTTCTACAAGGATCTTACATCATTCACCAAACACCATGTACAACCTCCAATCCTTATCCATATCTTCCAATCTTCATTCCATTCCCCTCCACTTGTTGGCCATATATGTATATGGTGTTCACTATATCTTCATACAGGCTACAGACTGTTTCCTACCCAATCCGAACCCAATCCGCCCAACCGTCCACACCGTCTCACGCCGTCCTCCACACCGAGCCGCCCGGAGCCCAGGTGCTCGTGCCCCTCCAGCAACGCCTTGACGCGCTCCGAGACGTCCAGCCTTCGCCCGGGGTCCGACGGGTGGCCGTACCAGGCCGAGAGCACCTGCATCTGGCCTCGGCGTGAAGAATTGACCATCAAAAGGGGCAGGACGTTTTCCTGACTTAAAAAGCCATGTTTTGGTTCATTCAGCTTGCCGTTGCAAAGCCTTGTGACAACAGTGAGACGCCAACATGTCCCACCGGGACATTTTGGCCTGAGTGCGCGTGGAGCCACGAGAAAGAATTTGGAGAACTTGATCGACCCTGCAAGTGAATCAGCTCATCCCCGAGCGTGAAGCTGAGGCGCACCAACTTGGGTTGCCCTCACGATTGCCGCAATCATGATGTCAGGGTGTGAAGCTTGCAGACACCGGGTTTGAAACGCTCTCTGATCTTCTTATCCCACCCAAACATCCTTTGGATCTTCGTCTTGCGCACGGTCAAGAAACCACAGGTGCTCTCATGACTTATAAACCTCTATATATATATGTTTGTGCGCGGTCACCTCTGTTCTCGCATGCGTTCTCCTTTGCGTCTGCTGTCATATGTGTGTTCTCATATGTGCTCTTTGCACAGCTCTCACATGCGTGCTCTCAAAAAAGTGTCCCGCACAAAAAAGAAAGTTGTCTCTTCCATAAGAAGCGTGTCTCACAAAAAAGAGCGTCCCACAAAAAAAAGGGTCCCCCCCCAGACAGGTCTTTGGAGGTGCCATCTGGGACGGCGAAGAGATGCGCATGGATTCCCACTTGTCCTTTTTGGAGTTTCTCTGCGTCGCAAGCATCACCAAAGAACGGCTGAAGTCCTCAAACCCACTTCCATCCCTCTTCCCAACGCCCCACGTAGCCCCACGCCTTCGGGGCGCAACCTTCCAATCCTCCAGACCCAGGTGCTCCGCAAGGGCAAAACCACTTCGGTCGGCCAGAGCGAGGGCGGGGCCTCCCGATGCGACCTGATGTCATTGGTGTCGTTTTGCCGCGAGCTTTGTCTCAGACAGAGGTCCCCTTCAGGCCGTCGCTACTAGGGATGAATCCAACCTTTGACATCAGTCTTCGACCGTTGATGAATCCAACCCCCGTTCGGCCCGGAGATGTGAAACCAGTCTGCAGATGGAGGAACTGGGAGCTGAATCAACAGTCTACACATTAGCCATACTGGAGGAGTACATTGAGTCAACGGACTGCTATCAGCGTACGGAGGTCCCGCACTTTACTTTGCATGTGTCTCTTAAGCGTGTGCTTTCTTCTCCAGAAAGACTCTTGCCTGGTTCAATGTTCTTGCTCACAAATCCGCGTGCTATTCTTCATTGCCTTTGTTAAAGTCTTTTGCTGATAGTATCTGCTCGTGTTCCAGTTTGTTTTGGTTGCCTTTTTGCTTTCGTTGTTTGCTCCTCTTTTTGATTTTACGTATTGCTTTTGAGTTTGGTCGTTTGTGAGGAGACCTGCTTGCTGTGGTGGGTGGAAAGGCGCCGAAGACGCTTGGAAGTCGGTGCTGCCGTCCGCCCTCGCCAGTCACGAAAGAAACACATCCAATCGATCAATCCCACGATTCTATGTGCAAAAGTCAACATGAGTGGCAAGCATGAAATATCATACTGCTTGAAGATGTTTCGTCATTCTGATAGCAGGGCACATCACGAAAAGAGTGAAGCACGCTCATTCTTGTCAAAACCTATACTATTGAATACTGGCGGAACTTGAAGGGTTTGCACAGTGCAGGAAACGTCGTTCGCAGAGTACGACAGCCAAAGACAACCGCCGTACTGGGCTATAACTAAATACCAGCAGAACCGGCACACAGAAATAGAATACTGAACGCAGGATGTTGTCAAGGCCGAAAAACCAGCAAGGTTGGCAACTGGGTTCACCAAGCACTGCAAATACAAACAAAAGTTCAAGAACAAAGGGTATCGAAGTGCTGTATTTCCCTGCAGAAGTTGAAAGGACGATGCTCAGCACACCCAATGACACTGCAAAACTAGCCTGTTTGCATGCATGTTCCGTCGTTGGGTTCCAAACCATCTTCAGAGCCTCTCCCACTGCCCGGATTCGGCTGAACACAAAACTCCCAGCATGACCCCACCATCAAACCTTCCTCCTCTCACCGGCAGCAAGACCCCTCACACAATGCCCCAAACAGAGCAATCTCAGCTGGTAGACCTCCTGATTCCCTGACTGTGTATTTTCCATCCAAGAACCACCCTCTGGGTGGTGCTGGTCCATGTTTCGCATCTCAATCCATGTGGTCTCGAGGATGCCCGGCCCATGCCCTCTCACGATTCTGACAATGAACCTTTGCAAGACGCACGACTCACCTTCACAGGTGAGAGGCGTGGGCAACATCCTCGCCCAGGCATACAGTGTCACATTACCTGGCACCGGTGCCGCTCGAACACCGGTTCGTGGCGAGTGGAAACACCCGAGGCGTCTGCTACGGGTGTTTAAAACCGTTTTGTGGTACCTCTTTTGAATCCGTTCGCTGGAGCCATACGGCAACCCGTGGGAAACCGGGGTCAACCGTCTCTCCTCCAAGCGGTGGGACAAAGTCCTGAGGTGGAAACCTCGTTTCTGCCAGCATCGCAGGTCTTCTGGTCTGGTCTCACTGACGGCAAACACGGAGAACAAGGACGGCAAACCATGAATTAAGTATTCATCTGCCGTTGTGCGTGTTGTAAGTAGAAAGCAAAAGCAATTCATCTCGTCTCTCCAAGTCGTTGGTGAGTGGTCCATGTGGGCTGTTGCAGCTCGGTCGGAAGGCGGACCCACATGGCTCTCCCGGTGACCGGTGGATGGACAAAACACCTGTCGCTACACCGGCAGGCCATTCGTTTTGGAGGGTTCCGCCGGGCACTGCAGTTCCAGCTGCTCAACCGGGTGATTGACACCCTTTGGGCGAAGCGTTCGACAATTGACATGAAGGGAACGCACTGGTGAAAAAAAACTGCAAACACCCTTGGTGATTCGGGGCTTGCTATATACCTAACACATTTGTCCGTTCATAGGACAAAATCGCAGCCGTGAAAACCAACCGCTTGGTTTCTGTCGCTTGGCTTCTGGAAACTCATCTACACCAGGGGTCCTGTTTCTCCCAGCTCTAAAATGCATGTAGCCGCATAAAAACAGCCCCATGTAGTCTGTTTCTTTTGCCTAAGTGGTTTGGTGCATACTACACTGTTGCCCCCAATCCATATTTGTATATATATATATGGATAATATATATGTATATATATATATATATAGGCAGCTTATAATATATATATACATATAAGTCTGTCTGTTTCTACGGTTGTACTACAATCAACTTAGTCCTCTCCGTCTCCCTCTTCCCCATCCCCTGTCGACCACACGCGCGGGACGACGCGCCGTCGCCTTCGGCGTCGCGCTCTGCGCGCGCGGACTCGTTGGGCGCCACGTAGTGCGGGTTCTGCTCGACCGAGGGCCGCGCCCCAGCGGCGCCGTGCCTGAGGGGCCACGCGGACGGTTCCGCTGGAATTGCTCCACCAGGCTCAGGGGTGTAAAACCGAACAAACATCACAGATGGGCAGCTGAAACTTCATCCAAAGTCTAGACTCTTGCAATTCTTCAAAGGGTTGTGCTGATTGAGTGTTGACATCGGCCCAACATCGTGAACTGGCGGCGTATTTTAATTTCAGGTGGTCCAAAGCCGCCCGCCGAAACTGGTTCGATGGCTGGCCACATGTCTTCTGTTGACATTGCTCCAAAGCTCAAAAACACATCAGCAGCACAGCACTCTGGCTGCTGATGCCACAAAATCAACAGGTTGCTCAACTCAATTGGAGTCCAAAGTCCAAAATCAACATCCGCAAGTAGGTCAACGCGAAACAAATAGACCCCTCCAAAGAAGTCGTCAGCGTCTGCCGCAGGGTTCTCTTCGGCTTGAAGGAGCCCGTATCTTCCAAAACGCGATTCGCTGTTGCGGCTGCGGGCCTTGCTTTCTGTTCTAGTGACTAGTGAAAGACTGAGCCATCCCGACAGCTCTACTCGTCTGTGCTCAGGCTAAATAAGTAGACTAGAAGAAAGGAGAATTCAAGTAGACAGGCTAAACAAGTATAGGCGAATTCTCATCCCGTCGTCTGTGTGTTGAGAATTCAAAGGACGACGACGACGCCCGACGTGTTCATGCCGAGGTCCCGCCTGCCCCCGACACCGACCAAAGCGCCACCGCCAGGGAGACCGGGGAGGCCGGGGAGGCCGCCGCCAGGGAGGCCGCCGCCAGGGAGGCCGCCGCCAGGGAGGCCGCCGCCAGGGCGCATGGCGGACGGATTGGTCACACAGATGGCTGAAACTAAGATTTACGTAGTTGTTTGTTTCAAGAACAAACTGGCCTGTGATTTGTGGAAAGTTGAATTCCTTCAAAGAAAAACCTATAGGGAGATCCCAGTCTGAAAAGAGGGTGACCAGGCACCAAAGATAGAGAAGGGAGCAAAGATTCAAAGACAGGCTCGCTCTTCGGTGGTTTAGAGGTCACTTACCAGAAGTTCAACTGCATACAAAGCTGACGATCATGAGGTCCTTGACTGTCCTTTCGTCGACCATGAGCGTCGACGATGGCCGCGAGCGTCATGGCCACGAGCGTGTTTTGCCGGTGCCCCCATGGTCTACCTATCACCATGGGCTCCAATCGTGCAAGAAGAGCAAATTGGGAATGAAATTGATTAAACACGATGAAAGTTCAAAAGGAAAAGCACCAGGTTTGGACAGGTCGCATGACTTCATGACTTCATGAGCACTACGGCGATGGGCCGCGCACTCTTGATCTCCCAATGGACTCCACTGGCAGAACCAGCGAAACTAAACCTCATCCGACGAACCCTCGTCACTGCCACGAGTTTCGGATGTTGGACACGTTTCCCATGTTGGGGACGGTGAACCTGACGTGTTTTTCGGTGAACTGGCCGCTGGAGTTCTGCCAGTCGTTCCTCCGGGTATTCTTCGTCGTTCCTCCAGAGCCCAGCGGCCCGCGTCACACTCCGCAGACCAGACCCCCGACCGTCTCCGCTCGCACGCACTGGTGCGAGGCTTGCGCCTAACGCCCCGGGAGTCCCGGGACCAGTCGGTGATTTCATGGTTGTTACTAGTGACCAACCATTGCTTTTCGATTGGAGACCACCAACAAAGGGTCTTGAGTCTTAGTCCTGTTTGAACTGGTCTGGGAAGAAGAAATTCTAGCTTCTTGTTACTACTAGTAAGGCACTTGTTCCTAGTAGCGTGGCACTTGTTCCTAGTAGCTTCTTGTTCTTCTCTATTCGATGTACTGTTTTTCCTCACTCACCTCCCCACCGAGGCCTTTCCTCGCTCCTCGAGCTCCTCGAGCTTCGTCGTCCGGGAGCGTGGCACCTCGCGACGGCCGGGGATCCCCGGGACTCGCCGAGTCCGCCTTCGTTGGAGTCCGGAGAGTACGCAACTCGTGTCTTTGAGAAAGGTTTGTGACGAGTTGCAGTTTTCCTAGTGATGCTTTTCGTTCCGTACTCCGTTCTCTTCATCTCCCGTTCAGAAAGGGGTTCTCGCTTGGAAGGACGGTCCTGGCACGGATATCGCACCCTTGGAGGTCCGCAAACTCACGCGGTGGAAGAAACAATCAGAGCTTCTCAACCAGCACCGACTTCACAGGTCACCAATTGAAACCTGTTAGGGCCCTTCCCAAGCCTCTAAAGGAGACATGGCAGGGAAGGTGCTGGAATATGATTCAAATCTTCAAAACCCCAAAGAAACCCCAAACAACTTCTAGGACCGGTACTACTTCGTGAGTGGTGAACCGGCTCTCTGAAGGAGCTGGCCGACCGATGGAGTTCGGATGAGGTGAAGTGAAGAATTGGTGTCTTCCATACTGTCCATACCCTAGCCTTCCCAGACCATTTTTTAAAAAATGGGTTGAGCTGGTTTGATACTCCAAAATTCTGAGTAGAACAATTTTGGTTTGTTTGGTAAAGACCCTTCAAACAATGGCTGTTGGAATCCTAGAGCATGCTTTGGAAAACACATACGACACAGCCATTGTGAACCTCCAGGATCGCCAACTTTGACACAAGTCATAAGGGTTCACTCCTGATCACTGGAAAACAGCTTCAACTTCCGGTGAGGGAACTCTGGTTTTCATCGACCTCGGCCCTCACCTGCGCGCATGCCGCAGCTGCCAATGTTCGTGGTACGACCTTTCAGGTCTGAAGACTGATTTGCTGAATCCATCTGGGGCTGTGATCACACGCGACAGAACAGGCTGAGCATAGTGTTTTTGTTTATTTTTTTTCTGGTAGGGTATATGGTGTTGCAGGAGTATCTGGTTCGCTGCTATTTACAGCAGCTTGGGTGTCCTTGAAGAGGATATGCCATGTTGTTGCGGGCGCAATGCGGCGTGGCTGAGGCAAAGTACATTGGAAGACATAGTGCAGATGTTGTTTTGGCTCCGCCGTGGTCGAAATTTAAAAAACCTCAGTTTTCGTGGCAGGCGCTGGGTAGCTGAGTGAATCAAAAAAGACAAATACTAACAACAACCAATTTAAGTCAATGGCAGGCAGCCTTAAGAAGTTCCAAGGTCCAAAGGAACTAATAGGGAGCAATGATGAGTCAGCTTGAGAAGACGTATAGTGCAGATTTCATGTATGTTGTTGGTGCAGTGCAGCCTGGTCGGTCCCGTGCGTGTTCGAACAAAAACGGAAAAACAAAGCAATCCCAAGTACGAGCTCCGTCCCGAACACCAAAACAATGAACCCTGTTTAGGACTTGATGCGCCGTTCCGGAACCTATGGCTGGTTGTTTCATGTTGGTTCCAAAATTAGTCATAGCTCTAGAAACAGTAACCGATGTAAACATAGATGTCACAATACCTACATCAATGTAATAGCAAATCCTTTATATAACAGCTCCTGAGCCAACTCACCCGAAGCAATCCCACCATGCTGTAGCGTCGAAACCTGACCTTTGATCTCCGAGACTGCTAGGCCTACATGCGAGATCTTTGGGGGTTTACATCCTGTGGGAAGAGGCGCACAGGTAACTGCCAGAAGTGCCACCCGACAGAAGGCTCGCTACGAGCGGAACCAAGGGCATCGCTACGAACGGATTCGTTCATCCTTTCACCCGACCGTCCTTCTGCGGCGCTCGACCGGACGGTCGGGTCCGGATCGCGCTCTCTCGGTGGGTCCGGAGCCCCGTTTCGGTTCACGTCCGATCGCTCCGTTCGTAGCGAGGCCGGGAGCCCCGTTTCGGTTCGCGTCCTTGCTCCTCCATTGATTGTTGTAACGGCACGTCTTTAAGGTTCTAAAAAAGAATGGAACATTATGGAACATTGGAGAAGACAACCACATAGCATTTCATGGACACATGACACAGCTCTGGACCCTCTCTGGAACTTGAGTTTGTTCCCCTTGCCACGGCCCCCCCGCCTGCCACATGGCTCCCCGAGAACCGGAGATCGACGTCAAGGACCACGCCGCTTCGTCGCGTGATGAAAGTGCGGCAGGAAAGTGCCAAGGGATACTTCGCAAAGCAGGATGTTTTGTATGCACATGTTGCTTTGCAAAACCTTCCTCTTCTGTCCTTCCCAAAAAAGGGATGTGCATGTGAAGTTCCAGAGTTGATGCAAGGGTCCAGAATGGTCCAGACTTTTGAACTGAATATGCCTGCAGTTTCGGATCTCCGAGAAGGTGAACGTGAAGTGACACCGAGAACCGTAGGCAAACGGTCCAAGACTTCAAGCGCAACAAATGATGCCCGATGATCGTCTGTGACCCGCCCCAACAAACCAAACCATCTCTGGGGGACACCGTCCATGTTTTCCCCGAAAAGCCACGCACTGGACATGGGGCGGAAATGGCGGCCACGAGATGAACAAAACCGTCCAAACGGCCCAAAAGGGAGGATGAGGATGGCAAACCACCCGGTCGGATGGATCTGGGAGCCCGTTTGGACACTCTTTTAAGGTCACCTTCTGCGCTTCAGAAGGCATCGAGGGTTCCTACCCCAAGTCGTGTCTTGAAGCTCAGATCTGTCGACTCCAAGTGTGTTCCGGCTGCAACACCGATGAATCCCCCGGGCAACACTGAAGGGTTAGACCGTTCTCTTCCCTTTTCTTTTGTGCCCCACATCCCAACCCAAAGCCAGAAGAACCAAGAGCATTTTCTGGTGCAGAAAAGCGAATCTTTTTTCGAGTCCCGAAACAGAAAGGCTTCGCAAACCAACAGAACCCTGCTGGAGATTGCTTGCCACCCTCTAGCTACCTATTGGAGCTGTCTTCCTATGGGTTTGGAAGATTCTTGGTGTTCATGTGTTCTGTCTATGAGTTCTTCCCTCATAGGGATGCGTTGGTATTGGGAGGTAAGCGCATTCTGTCCTCATGCCGTACTTCGGGAGCACAAGAGCACAAGCAGCAAGCAAAACGAGCAGCGAGCTCCGCCTCGGCATCGCTGGCCTTCTTCGCTCCTTTTCCGCATAGAATGAAGAATAGCCGAAGAGCCAATGGAGCTCGCGGGCTCTGGGAGTAGTCAGTAGACAAGAGGCCAACAACTCTTGAACTTCAGGCCTGTCAAGGGCTCCACCCAGAAGCTTCCCTGCGAAGCGTGCAAGCAAATCAGTACCTCTCATGTCCTCCCTTTAGAGCTTGGGTCTTGGGAACTCCGCCAGTTCGATGTCTCTCCAAGTGGGTCCCAACCGAACCCTTTCCGCTAGGTGGGAGGAGGAGTTCCTCTTCCATCTATTTCTGGGTGATCCGCCTGATTGGTCGGTGCAGCTGGAGACCAGCTGCGGTTTTTCAAGATCTATGCAGCTTTGGGGCCGGAGATCCTTGATGCTCTTGATAGGATCCACCAATCTAGTCTGCAGAAGCTTCGATTTCATTCAGGCATCTCGATCCAGGGTTTCAGAACTCTGTGTGTGCTCAGAAACTGGGTACCATGAAGAAGGACATGTCTAGTACAGTAAAAGTACTGAATCTCCAACCTAATACTGATGGCCTCGACCCTACTAGCGATGGCCTCCAACCTAGAAGTACAGTACTGTATACGGTCATCCCACTTCGAATCTCGATCATCCAAGGCCACACTTGATCAAGCTCTGTATGCTCACCGAAATACACGTGATGTCACACCCAAGACCTGACATGAAGGGACTGTGTTCCCTGCAAGCTGCATCTCCTTTGAGAGTAGGCTGCCTCAACTTCCTCAAAACAGTCACAAACGGCTCATTCTCTTCATTTTCACGTTCTGGAGCATGGAGAAGAATTGGCTGAATTGGCTTCTCTGCATGCTTCCATCCACTCATGGCTGGCTTCAGCCATCAGCGTTCACGTGCCCGAAACGGTCTCCCGCCTCGGTCCTCTGCCCTCTGGGGCCCAGCCGTTGGCCGTCCGGTTGGGGGATTGGGACCGCTCGCGCCGGGCGCTCGCGCCGGGCCGGCACAGCGGCGTCCGGCGTCCGAGTCCCTCCCGCCTCACTGCCGCGGGCGGATTTGGACCACTCGCGTCCAGCGGAAGGTTGGACCACTGGCAAAAAAGGTTGGCCAAGGGCTTTCGCGCCAGGACCGCTATGGGCGGGCGGTGGATAGCTGATAGGAGCCCTTTTTGGCGGCGGGGGTGATGGAGGTGGTGGTCCGGTGGTTGGGTTGTTGGCGCAAAGAAGATTGGGCCCCCAGAATTCAAAAAACAACATCGATCCCACTTCGTGTCCAGCGAGAATACGTGGAAGTGAAAAAGTGAAACCCCGTCCTTGTCACGACCTCACAGAGTGGGCGAGTAACATGAAAAACCAATCAACGGTCTAGCTGAACATCTTTATAAAAAGAGTCTTGTCCCGGCACGGGGCCAGACCTTGCAGGGAACTCCATCCACTGCTTTCTATCTTCACTTCCTGGATTCTGCACTGGATCACTGCTATCTTGGCCAACCTGGATAGCCGCCCCTTAGGGTGGCGGAGAAGAAGAATTGATGAAAGATTGGACCCTACTGCCATCCATTCTCAACCCTGGTCTTCATGGTCCTTCTCGGTGGTGCGCGAGGAAATGCCGCAGTAAAGAGAATACAAAAACACTCCACCTGCAGGGGAATCAAACCAAAATCCGGTGATTAGTGCAGTCAATTTTGAGCGATGGTTTTCTTCCCAAGCTGGAAAACAACAGCAAATCATGATGCTTCTCTCGGCACCCCGTTGATGGATGACCAGTGGAATAAGGCCAGCACTATCAGTCCGCTCAGGATCATAGGGAGAAGAAGAGGAATTGCTCTGCCGTTCGAGGCTCCATCCAGGTATCTCCAAGCAGGACACGAATCCTCTCCTGAGAGCCAACGAGCCCAGTGGTTCCAGTCGCCAACACCTCCGTTTGACCCTTACCGGCGTGAAGAAGGGATCCACTCCAGACCCGGCGTAAACCAAATCTGCCAATCACCTGCTTCTGTTCGAAGCAAAACGTTCGCAGAACTGGTCCTGCAGAACGTCTGTGACGTGTTCGCTGCTGTAAGGTCTCCCTCACCTATGTTTGCTCATCAATCTGGTCAGCAAGACCCTCCACGGTCCAACGAGGAAACGCCAAAATGTGTTCTTTCGCATGGCCTTGGCCACCCCTTCGATGCACGATCGCTCCCTCTTCGAAGAGAGGCCCGGTCGCACGGTCGGCTTCGGTTGGAAGCAGGGCGAAGCCGAAGAGAAACGCAGGGCGAAAAGGAAAAGAATGAGAGTCACAAGGTCAACAAGTAGTGACCAAACACCAAGGGCAAGTTGCTCTTCTTCCTCATGATTTCAGGAAGAGGAAAATTCCCCAGGCAACAAAACTCCACCAAAAGAGGTGAGGAAGGATGAAAAGAGGGAATCAATTTCTTACCCGGATTCCCTCACTTTCACAACAGCCAGCCCACACTTCCTATCCTTCACCCAGTTGCCAGCTCATGTGGGCTGCACGCACGACCTCCCAGCTGCATTAGCTGTAGGAGATCTCCATCTGCCTTTGTGTCATAGAGTGCCTCACAACCCGAGAGAGCCCGGCGAAAACAAAAAAAACCTGGCCACATCGACCTGCTTGTCTCTTGGGCGAGGTGGGGCGAGCTTGCGAGGTTGGTCGCGCTGAAAACAGAAAACCGTTGAACCCTTGGAGACAGCACAGAACCTGGTTCTATTGCCTCCAACCTAATAGCCATGGTCTCCAACCAACCAGCAAAGAATCTGGTTCTATGGGTTGATCTCATTTTCTTCGAGCCACACTTCTAGCGCAAATTCCTCAAAAGAATCGATCTTCGATCTTGCAAAACCGATGCATGCCTCTTGGCTGGCCGTGAACGCCTCCGTGAACTGGGCCGCGGAGGCAAAGCGGCGCTCTCTTTGGCCCCAAAAACCTACTCAGTGGGCTTTGATGCCCAATGTCTCAGCCCTCTTTCCTCTTACGTGCGCCAAGAGCGTGTCGCTTATGTCGCTTGGCTTACGTGATGAATGACTTCAGCAGCATCCGCTGCGTCAAGTCTCAGCCCCTGCATGTCCCAGCCCAGAGTCGGCATCGCTTCACCTTCACCCCACCGGTCGCCGCCCGGTGCCGAGTCGAAACGAGTGGCGAAAACGAGTCCGTGCCAAGTTGGTTGAAGACGGGTGTTGTTGCTTCTTCTATGACAATGGAAAACCAACTTCCAACACCTGAAGATCTGTTCAAAGATGTTTTGCTTCAGATCTTCACCCGTTTCCACCCAATTTTGGACCACTCTTGTGCCCACCGCGCCTCTGCCTGCCTCGGCACATGTTCGGTTCGGTACGAATCCCCTCACCGAGAGCTGAAGAACGTGGAAGTTGATGGCATGGCCCCGTAGAAAACCATGTTCTCTAAAAAAGAGCAAGTGGCTTTCCACTGGTCCACTCCCATAATGATTTCAAGGACTGCAAGACTACAAATCTCATCAAATCTCCATGTTCCTTCTGCCACTATTCTGCTGCGGGACGAACCTGATCTGTTCAGAAGCCGACACCCGGCCAGCTCGAAACCCCCCGTGAAATCCCCGAACACCCCAAGGTCCTGACGAACGAAACTACGCACGGTGGAGTGGCCATCGCTATGCGTTGGAGGCCATTGCGTAGCGAACGTAACGTTCGAAAGCTTTCGATTCACTATGAAACACCGGCCAGCACAAGCCCGATGCACCTACTGCCACCACCCCAGCAGGTGGGAGCCGGGTATCACCGCTGGCGCCGATGTAGAGCTCCATCTTTCTCCGAAAACGCGCAATGTCCCAAACTCCATCCGCCCTGTCCCATAAAGAACCGCGGGGTTCACCCGTTTGCAGGAACCACCCGTTGCAGCGTCGGGTTCACCCGTGCCAAGACACTGTCTCGCCCACTGCAGCAATTGGGGAGTCACACATCGCTGCATCACTGGCAAGAGATCTGCGACCAATTCGCCGCGCTCCTGAGGAGCCGTCCGTGCGGACCAGATGAAAAGGGAGGTGGAGCGGACCTTGGTCATCGGTCATCTGGTTTGGTTGACGCCGTGAATTCTCGGTCAAATGAGAAGCATGTAGTTGGAAACCGATGAAGCTGGATTGAGTCTTCTTGCTGAATGTTCCATCTTAGTGAAGTGCTTCTGCCTTGCGATTCTGGATTTGAGGGCTCCCTACTAGTTCCGGAAAGCTGCTCACTAGTACGTTTTCTCGATCAGCCAGGAAGGCCCTGCTCTGCTGAATCGGAAACCAATAGAGATCGCTCTGGAACCGCGACCAGTGGATGTCTTACAACTTCACCCAAAGAGAGATGAAACTGAGGGGGCATCGGACGGGTGATAAAAGTCTGCCCCGTCCTCCCCATCGCTCGGCCCCATCCCCAGACCGATGTCTATCATGAAGCTTCAGGAGCACTTACATGCCTTTAAAGGCCACAGGGACCCACTTGCTGTTGGAAAACTGTCCATCTGCAGCGAACCAAAACTCCTTCAGATGGGTCTCCCACCGTCGGGGCCGATCTTGAATCTGCAGCGAACATTGCACCTGTTGACACCAAAACACCAACGAAGCACCAAGGCTCGAAAATCATTGGGGAATCTGTAGCACGACGATCTGTGGCAAGGACCGCGTAGTATGCTAAATTCCTCGTCTCACAGCAAGCAACGGGGCTGGCAACATGAGAACCAGGGTCGTGGGTCCAAAGGAAAAGTCATCCAAATGGAAAGGCGACATCTTCCAACAAAATCCAACAAATATGGATGCCACCTAAAGGGACGGTTGGGGACCTCATGTTTATGATTCTCGTGGTTTGCTCCCACTAACTACAGAGTGGAGGGTTTCACCTGAATCCTGCAAAGCATGGGAGAGTGCGCCCCAAGTGAGTGTCTCAATGATCCTCTTCAGAACAGTTTTCTGGCGCAGGTCGCTCGCTTCCGGGTCGACCGCGTCGCACTCCGCTGGTCGACGGCGCCCAGTGCCAAAGCGTCCGCGAGAAACCTTGGATGTAGGACTGCCCGATGCTCTTGATTCCTTTGAGCAGCCCTTCTTCGCGCATCTTCAATAGCCTCTCCAAGCATTGCCTGCAAGAATCTTCGTCTACGAAGTTCACGATGGCCAGTCCAGCATGTGGCTGCCCTCCTGCGGAAAGCAACAGCAAGCCCTTCCGAAGGTGTAAGTATCTAATCGAAGTCTAAGGAGCAAGAAGGGGCCATTCCGAAGTGAATCATGAAGGTAACGAGTCACCCGACAAAAAAATGCTGGTTGGCTTTGAAATGGAGACACCCTGGTGACGTTTTGCAATCCGTGTTCCATCAACACACAAACAAATATAGATAAAAAGCACGATTTAACTGTCTGTTTCCCGTTCGGGCGCCCCTCGGACTGCCCAAACGCAGTTTGCGCGTGCCTCGTGCCAAGCACCTGTATGCTGAAGTCTTGGTACTCGCATTGAGAACTGGATATACCGTATATATAGTGTATAACATCATCCAAAACAAAGAAGGTTGGCAGAGTGACCCATCCGCAGAGTGCCCCGGTGAAACATGCTTTGCGTGGACCACATGTTTGATGTGTTTTTGGTTCCACTGTGTGTAGCCACCAGTCTCAATTTGTCCGGAAGACCCTGGGATGATTCATAGCGTCATTCCGAGTGCTTGCCGGTCAAGCACCACTGCATGTGCGAAGGAACACATCAGAAAGAAGCGAAAATCATTAGGTGGTCAAACATGATGACAAACACAATCATAATAGCGAAAATAGCAGCAACAGTAATCAAGCATGATAATTAGTATATACAGTAATAAACATGATAATGATAATAATGGCAACAATACACCACCTTAGGACAAATGTGTTCTTCTTGAAGGCTCAAAAATGAAAAAAAACTTTCCTGTCACCTCACACAGTCGAAGTTCCTCCCGATTTCGCCAGCTTTATGGTCAAAACAGAAAGGAGCGCTTTATGGCAAACTCAATTGGATGTTTTGAAGACCCAGTAGTACTTAAGAAACGGTCTTCCTGAAGTAATTGCGGGTGAAGGATCAGAAGAATTGGTGCCATCCTTTCACCCAGTGGTGGTTCAAAAGAAAGATCATGCAAACTCCCGGCAGGTTCCCCAACCAAGTTGCCGGGGATGTCTTTGAGCCCTCCAGCGATGCCCTAGCTACTAGTAGCGTCCTTGCTACTAGTGCTACGGGTAGAGCGGGATCGGCCGTGTCTGCTCTGAACTCCAAAAGCAGTTGCAACACAAGGCACCTTGTTACTAGTAGCTTCTAGCTACTAGCAGTAAGGCACCTTGTTACTAGTAGCGATGCCCTTGTTACTAGTAGCTTCTCTCAAGCCTGCCGAAAGGGTAGGACCAAAGAGAACACCAAAGAGACCGTTTCCGAAATACTCTTCCCACTCAGGTCACTCGCGTCACCTCGCTTGTTCTCTCTGGTCTCCTCGCTTCGGCAAGTAAAGGAAGTCAAAGGTCTTCCGGAATGCCGTCGCTGAATCCAGGATTTGTAAAATCGTCTCCACTGTGTACGTCCTGCTTAGACCTCGCCTCGAACGAATCTTTACATAACACCACAAAAGGGAAAACTGGATACAAAAGGTATGTACGGTCTTCTACTAGCGTCCGATCGCTCCGTTCGTAGAAATGCCCGTTGTATCCCTTTGTTACTAGTAGCGTCTTGTTCCTAGTAGTAAGGCCAGGAGCTACTACTAGCGTCCTTGCTCCTAGTAGCGATGCCCTTTGTATGTGGAGAAAGCGAGCCATAAAGGCTCGCTTCTATAGACCCAACAAAAGCTGCGCCCGTGAGTGACCTATCAGAGATGCGCGGACTGGGATTGTCTTGCAGGGCCATAGAGTCAGTCTGTCTCTGTCTCTCTCGCTCTCTCTCTCTCTCTCACACGTTACCGCTAACGAGAAACTCTCCTAAACAAATGTAAAATCCTGGAATTGCCTCTTTGCATAGATGCTGGTTGTCTATCAAGAAACCACCATTCCCCTCTTGATGTCGTCTTCCCCACCACCTCCTCCGAAAGAAAGAGAAAAGGTCAACATCTTCGGACATCAAAGCCCCCACCGGCCCAGGTGCAATGCTAGTGTAGTGATTGCGGCGTGCTCCGCTTGGCACGCTGTCGACCCATCGCTCATGGACTCATTGCGTAACATGGGGCGGCCGAACCGTCAAGAGGCTGCGAGTGCGAAAGCCCAAACCGGGGCGGGGCGGTTCTGCGGTTGGTCTTGGGTCAGATCTGACAGGGTTGGAGGAACCTGGCTGGTCACCTGGCTGGTCTGGGTGTCAACGTGGATCCGTTGAATCGCCACCGCGTGAAGAAGTCTCGCCCTCTGCACATCGTGAACGCTCGGTGTCAAGCGTGAAGTGGAGGGAAGTGCACTTCTGCATGGAACATGCGGCCGTAGCGCCCTTGTCACGTTCGCTACGCGATGGCCTCCAACCGAGCATAGCGGCGGTTTCCTTGCTACGTCGAAGTCCCAGATATGTCCGACCCGGCATTCGGATCTAACCCTTAGGGACCCCCCCGTTTGAACGACAGGTTGTCCACCCAATAACAACAGGTTGCAGTTTTGTTGTTTTAAAACCAAGTTTTACTTATTGTCTTCTTTTTTGGGTGGGGGGTTGACAAATGAGCTTGGACGGAGATTCCCATCAGCGTGTCCAAACTTCCTGGCTTTGACGAGAACAAGGCCCCGGGGCGACCGTGGCCGGACCGTGGCCCGACCGTGGCCCGACGTGGTGCCTTTGAAACGGCAGTGTGAGTGTAGCGATGGCCCCACCGCGAGAGGCTTTTTCAAAGGATTGCCAATGGCACTCCGACAATCACGGTCCATCAGACCACGTTGGCCAATGCGCTGCCCACCAAGTCGAACTCCGAATTCAACGGGTTCCCCGCGATGTCTTTCGAAAAGGAACAACAGGTCCAAGGGTATGTGCGGTCTTCTACTAGCGTCCGATCGCTCCGTTCGTAGCCCAAGGGTCCCAAGAACCTGAACGAGATGAATGGGCTGAACTCTCGGTTGCGAGTCTGGTCAAAGGAAACTGGTTACGGGTTCTCTCAGCCTCCGAAGACATCAGACTGGGGGCAACTGAGGTACAAAGGAGCTACCCTCGCCTCGAAACCTTCCAGCTTAAGCTGGGATGGGCGGGGGCGGCGATCTGCTTGATGGGGTTCCCTGCAATTTAATTCTTGTTTCTAGTAGCTTCTTGTTCCTAGTAGCGATAGGGGGGCCCAATTGATCTGACTGCGATGAGCAAAAGAGGTCGCCGCACATCCAGAGCATGTTTGGCCCGAAGCCGTTCGGCCGCCGCTCTATCTGCGCTCAGGAAAATGCCCGCCATTCCGCCTCAGTGACGCTCGAGCTTTCGCAAAGGGTGTAGACTTGAATCAGGTGGTCCAAGGGCCGGCCGGACGCATCGCTTTGGGGGTGAAAGCCAAGAAAGCACGGTGATTGCCTTGCTGAACCTCACAATATAGAGCATGCTCCACTTGTCAAAGTGCTCCACTTATCTCCACCTGCTGCAAGAATGCACCAGGATGCTGTGCAATTCCATCCATGCTCTGGTACCTTCTAATGTTCTATGAGGCTGCTCCACCAATCTGCTGCTCAATCTTGGCGATCAAGAGTATGAACATCCACCCTGCCCAACATAGACCAGGTCAGACCAACGTCACTAAGGGACCCCTTTCATGAAAAAACAAGCGTCACTTGCCATATTTGATCCTCTTCACCCGTGCTGTCGCTGTCCCAGGTCGCCCGGCAGCGAAAAGGTCGGAGGCCCAGGAGCCGCTGGCGCGCTGGGGGGGGGCCTGCAGGGGGCGACGTGCGGTGGAAGAAGCCAACCGCTATCCTAGCCTGGGCTTCTGGGCTGGTTGGGGGAAAAGCGAGCCTAGCTTGGCCCAAAAAGGGTGGAAGTACATACATGGAAGTACTGAGAAATTGGCATGACGTTGTTTCAATACAAGGCTAGGGTGGCTGGGGCTAGGACGTCTCCATCATCCTCAAGGGTCACAAAAACCTCTGAATTCGGGCTAGCGAGATTGACCGCGTTTCCTGCAACAGGCTTTGGTGCTAAGTGCGACCACACAGTCCACCGGTCACCGCAGCCAGCAGGCAGGCGGGTGCACCCGCCTCCCATAGGCACTGGAAGCCGTCGAGGCCTCGGAGCGTGTGATGTGATTGGTTTGAGCCTCCCCATTTCTACGCTTCACATACTGATACATAGTGAAGCTGTTACATTTCAAGCTAGCTGGTCAATCTGGTGATACCATACTGATACATACTGTACATCAAAGCTACCAGATTGACCATCTGCGATGCAAAGCCAGGGACCCTAAACCCTAAAACCCTCCAGCCAGATCGCTCGGCAGTACATGTATCCGTTTCAGATGTGTTCAGTCTTCATCCCTTCCTCCGCGGCCCACGTCTTCGCGCGAAACTTGCGCCCCACCTTGGCCCGATCTTCCACGCCACGCTCGCACAAACTGGCGACGGCCTGGAGAAGAATTGAACCCACCAAGAGCATCTGTTCAGTTTTGTCGGAACGACACGCATTGACTGCTCCAGGCAGATAGTGTTTGGGATAAGAAAGCAAAATGCAGTTGCGGCTCCGGACCACACGCGGAGCCCAAGGATTCTCAGGGTTCAAAGCGAACAGTTGCGATCAGAGCCTGGTTCAGAAGTCAGACACCATAATATGATATTTATAGTAGTATATAGTATATGTTTTCAGATTTTCCTTGAAGCATCTTGAAGCTATCAGGGAGAAATGGTAAATGAGGCGAAGAGCTGCAACCTTGAGAGAACATGAACATGACAGGCAGAGATTCCATTCAACTAGGTCGGTTGGTAGTTTGAGAATGACCGTCAGTTAACTCGGGCCTGGCAGGGCTGCTATTTTGGCTCCATGAATGAGTTCAAGGATCTCCAAACCACTCGAAAACCACTACGAACGGAGCGTTCGGACCGCTACGAACGGAAGAAAGGGCATCGCTTCGAGCTGCTCTCCCCGTGCTCTCCCCCACCTCCTCCAGGCTCGCCAAGCCCTCGGCATGCACGTCCAGCTCCGCTCGTGCACTGCGGAGATGCGAAGAGGTCTGTGTGGGTCGGACAGCCACAACGAGTCGAGTACACCTCTCTGTTTATGGCCCCAAACCCAGAGAAGGGGCAGTATGTCCGGAAGAGAAAGCCATGAGTGTCATGAGTGTAGCCTAAGACCCATCTAAGTGACCAGCTGTCCGTTCTTCACACAGAATCTCGGGGACAAGAGACGAGCCAACATCGAGAGAAAAGGTCTGAAAAACTACCGAATCTGCCATCAAGATCCATCAAGCATCACAAGCATTTCAACTCATTGTGCATCCAGCGGCTCGACCATCGCCCCAGAGACAACAGCGCTCGCGCGAGGAAAACCGCTCACCGCCTGCCGGCCAGGCCAACAAACTCATCGGGAGGTGCGGCATTGAACTCCTCCTGCCAAACACGGGTTGTGCGGCAAAGGAAGCAACACTGGGAAGACTCATCGGATGATTCTGCCCACTAAGAATGAAGTTCGAGTCCAGCTCACTCGTCGGCTCAATCGGGTTGAGAAAAAAGATCAATCAACGTGTTCTTGAAGGGTGAAAGGATGTGAAAGGGAAGGCTTTCATGGTGTGAGTAGCATCGCTTTCATGGTGTGGTCACCTTTTCGAGGCTTCCTTCCATCCCACTTCGAACCGGCAGCTGAAGGATCCAGACCGGTCTCGTGCGGAGGAAGGACACCGGAAGTCCATTCTTCGAAGTCAGAGCATGTCAAGTAAAGAGATGAGACCATGTCCAACCTGATCTTCATTCTGTAAAGGATTGAACCAGCCACCCTTCATAAGGAATCGATAAATCTTTCTCACAGTGCCCTCCCTAAACCCTCAACATCAATCTATATCCACACAACCCTGCACTCACCTCCAGCCCAAACCCGGTGGCGTCACACCCTGCCACCGCGGGTGATTACCCCACGCCTGGCGGAAGGCCTCGCGCCAGCTGGCGATCGCCGCCTTGGCTGCGGAGTAGGTGTTCAATGCCTGCACGGCGCGGCACGCCAGGAGCGCCAGCGGAAGGGAAAGCGTCCGCTGCTTGTTTCGGTCGGTTGTAGTGTGGATGTTGGTTCTCCAGCGTCTCCGTATCAGGCCTCTCTGGATTATATACCTAGCCTTGATCTTCACCTTTATCAGGACCATCTGAAGCGCCCAGTGAACGGGTCATCCAGATTTTGCGCGAGACGTTCCTTTGGAATGAAGGAAATCGTGCGAAGTAGCTCAAGATGCTCAAGGAAAACGAACTTTAGGAGTGGATCGTCGATAGCAACTTCAGAGAAAACAGTTGGAAGCCATCGCTAGTAGGGTGGAGGCGATTCCTTTTAGGTTAGAAGCAACTTCAATCTGGATGATGTTTCAAAAAGGTTACGGCCAGGCACTGTGCCATCAACAAGGGATCGGGCTGGCTGCTTCGGGTGAGGACAAGGGGAGCGACCGGTGACCACGGTGGTTGAAAGACTACAACAGCATGAAATTGAAGGACTGTTCCAGTTCGGTGGTAGTGCCTGGACCAAACGCAAACCAGGTGTGATTCACATGTATTCACATGTATCATATGGGTTGGAATTTGACGAGGAACGCCCCCCCTGGCCCAAGGGGTAGTTGTGTTCTATCTCTCTGTTCTGATACTATATAATTAGGATCAATATGGATCAATTAGGAGTTCACCCTTATCTTCCGACACTTTGACCTCCAGCGATGCCCAAAGACTTGGACCTCCACCGCATCGCCGTCGTTCCGGCAACGAGCACGGAGGTTCTCCTGCACAAAGGACGGTGAAGCTTTGCAGGTCGAAGCATCCGTAGCCTCCATCTAAACCGAGGTGGTACGTTCGACCTCCAATCAGATTTTGGCGTGTCTTTTTCTTGTGACCGTCGTCCAAAGAAAAAGAAAAGCGCAGACGACCGTCGTCCCACAAAAGAAGAGATGCAACAGTTGTTCATCTTTGTTGGCTTCTTGGGTGTACCAGCACTTCGAATGACCTTCACTGTCCACCCCTTCCTGAAGCCGACGGAGCTCGGTCAGCCGCACACCGTACTCCGTGTGTCCTGGCTGAAAGAAAGAGGACCAAACCCAGGCGCCACCGCATCGGAAAGTGTGGTGTTTCAAAAACGTCTTCATCTTGAGAGGCAACGTCTTCTTCGTGTTATAAGAGTGTCCAGACTTCGAGTCGCATCCATCCGTTGCAGACGGGAGTGCCGGTGACTACTCTGGAAGAGTGCCTGCTCGGAAAGCAAATCCTTTCGCTCAGCTGACTGCTCATTCCACCCGGTGAAAAGCAAGAGGCTTGCTAGGTCCAGACCAAACGGCCCCAGTCGCTTGTGGAATCCACGGTGACCCGCTCCAGTGTCAAGGCTTGACAAGGAGCCCGTCTCGTAGGCGTCCAAGGACCTGGAGAGCGGTGGAGACGCAAATGGAGAGCAGCACCTTGTGGAAGAGCCTGGTTTTTTTGGGGGTGGATGATGGGGAGGAAATGCATGGGAACTGTTTTGTTCATCTTTTCCACTCCAGGAACTATGTTCGCTACTAGGAACAAGTGCATCGCTTCTAGTAACAAGTGCCTTACTAGTAGTAACAAGGTTCGCTACTAGGAACAAAGTGCCTTACTAGTAGTAACAAATTTCAGTTTCAAGTGCCGGATGGCCCGAAACACGCCATCAAGACCCGCGGCCCTGCGGCTGCTTGGCTTTTAATACACCTGGGCTTTGATGCTAAATGATTGAGACCCTACATGACCATCTTCTTCAGAGGCTGCACCCACTGACCCACTGTGCTGGAAGTGGAAGACGGTCGAAGCTCGCGAGAGACCCAGGAGGATGTCGGTCGCACTCGATGGCCCAGCCACGAGTGGCTTCCAGCCACCCAAGGGCCAAGCTGGGAAGTGGAACGGTTTACCCCGAAAACTAACATAGACCCTGACAATGACCCCCTGAAAAATAGCTTTCCTCTACCAACCAGTGGTTTTCAGGGTCCATGGTAGTCTACCAGGGTGTAGACGAACAAACAGGTTTTTTATATAACGTTCCATGTTCCAAGCTGCGTCCGCCCCCCCCACATCTTTTGCCCGCGAAGCTTTGCATGTGAACAGCCCTGATTCATGTGAACAGCGCTTGACCCAGTGTTCTGGGCCACCCAAACTCCAACAGCTCCGCTTCACGTTCATTGAGTTGCGCGCGCACCTGGAACACACTGGTGCTGGTTTGGTGATTCGTGAACTCCGCATCGCAGAAGCAGAGAATCAATATCATGGACCCTCAAAAAGAGGGATGGCACCCACATATGGAGGGGTCTGGGGTCTCAAAGGTATTGAAGGACTGCTTGGAGCGTGTGGGTTCAGGAGCTGATCGTTTCCCCACTTGCATGGAACAACTCCTGGAAGAGAAAGATGCAACAAATGCTGGTTGCACAAGCTGCTAGAAAAACAACCTCTCTCTTTTTCAGAGACGTGGCCGGGCATTTCAACCCCTGCACGTGCAGGTGCAATGGACCTATATGGACCAATAGAACTTAGACCATGGCTACATTCCTAGTAGCTTCTTTTTACTATACAGTAGTAAGGCCAGGAGCCCCGTTTCGGTTCGCGTCCGATCGCTCCGGACTCGAGACGCGAGGCCCGAAATGCTCCGTTCGTAGCTTTACCACACTTGCGACCCTCCCCAACCCACATCTCACGCCCTCGTCTCATCCTACTCCCTGGGGGCGGCGCCCGCGCGAAGGCACTGCGCACGCTCGCACGGCCGCGGGCTGCGGCGCGCTCGATGTCCTGTGGTGGCAACCTACTAGCGATGGCCTCCAACCTAGTGAGTCAAGAATGTTTGGAGTAAGCATGGTGTTTGCGGAATCACTGGGCGGTTGGTAAGCTTTGACCACCCATGTCACAAGTCGGGATGCATTCCTTCAAAGTATGACAGCTTACCACAGGACAATGTTTACTCCAATCAATCAATGCAACCTAAACAGAACGCCCTCTGGACCAATCCAGAAGCTGCACGAATCCTCTGGACTGGAGGTATCTCTACGCAAACGATGTCTGCACCGTTTCTGTGGTTCGTCCTGTTTGGTAGAGTGCAATCCAAAAGAAACATGCCAAACTCCCCATCCGTTCTCAACGTTGCATGCTCCGCTACTTGTCAATAAGAGCGACTCAAAAAGATATGCCGGCTGCGCAAGGACATCAAACAAGAACTATAGGATAGTCGGATAGTCACTATGGCCATGGCTCAAAAATAGGCCAAACACCCAAAACACCTCGATGGAAGAGTGGACCTGCCACAACTGCCACATGGGGTTCCTGAGTCTGACCTCTTTAAGCCACAGCCAATTGTTGGATTCAACCCTGGCCGTTCCTCTCCCATTCTCCTTGCGGCGCCACGCAATCCGGTCCCCGACCATGGCAAAGTCATCCTAGCAAGTTGGAAAGCGTCTCTGCAGCGAAACCTGCCAGTCCTTGTTCGGATGTTATCCCGGGGCCCGTCTCAAACAGGTATACCGTCAAAGCAAAGAACGAATCCCGCTGGCCTTTAAACCCAAGTCAAACAGCCACTCTTGGGGCCCACCACCCGAAACGCTGACAATACGGGTTGAACAAAAACTCCATATGGTGGGAACCACTGAAAATTGGACCCCCATTTTGTGAGGGAGGAAGAGTAGTCACCCCACTGGCGCAAAAAACACGTCGGTGTGTGTATGTCTGTATGTACAATTGTTGTTATGTATGTGTTGAGACCCTGAGTATGCTTGATTGCTCGCTTTATTCCTTCCTCCGGACGATACACCAAGCTGAAAGAAGATCAGCTGGGTATTAAGAAAGCTGAACAAAAGTTCAAGGATTCCGCAAAGAATCTCCTGAAAACACAAAAACACATTCTTGAAGCATCTCTAAACCACTGGCACCATCTCTAACCCCTGACCATTCAGCATCTGGCACCATCGGGTTGCCTCCAGTGCCACCGCTTCGTCCAGCAAGGCGCCAGCACGGGATTTCAGGACCTGTTCACGTCCGGTTCACGTCGGGATTTCAGAAAAAAACCGCCCTGAAAGGAGCAGATCCAAGACATTAAGAAAAGGGCTACTAGGAAAGACCAGATGAAGGATGGCGCTTCTTTTCCGATGTTCCAATTGTTCAAACACCAAATGAAGATCTTTTCCAGTGGATCTCCCCTCATTCATGCAGCGCCGTAGCCGGACCACGCGGCACCCTTGTCCCACGCACCTCATGTGCTCGGGCCACGCGCATCACCTGACACCGAGATCCACGGCGTTCGGAACGTCGCAGCGGTTTGACTGATCGCCAGACTCGGCAGGGGCGAGTCGGACCTGCAACGAGGGCACCCAGGAGTGAGCGAGTCCAATCGGTCTTCAAAGTTCGAGTCGAGACGAAAGACAAAAAAGGGAACCAAAGCTTTCACCTATTGGACTCCAAATGGAAGATACCCGCGTTGACCGATCTCGGATGCACCAAAAATGCCGCTTTTAAGGAGCGAGGATGACGGGCCTCGTGATCACGATGCCGGCCATCTTTCTGCACGACACACTCCTCAGTGCTGAAGCGATGAAAGAAAATCCAAGCTGCACGAAACACCCGTGGCCACAAGGTGTGTAGGGGCACCCAGAGCCTAACCATTTCGCCGGTCAACGTGCTAGGTCTGAGTGGGTTCTTTGCAAATCCAACAAGTGTGATGGACCTTCCAATTACGAAGGAGTGGACCCGGCCCAGTGGCCATCAAAACCTGCAGTCGTTTGAAGGCTCCCAACTTCATGAGAGCCATGGATGCTGAGCAGAATGACCCTTTCCCACACACACCCCAGGCACACGGTCCAGCATTTTCCAACACCGTCGCAACTACCGTTCCAGCGGCACCGCAGTCTTGGACGCAGGGCGCTGATCTTCAAATCGGTGGAGCGACGGGGTTTCACCCGACTAGGCGACTGGAGCGAGTCAGTGGCCGGGCCGGCCGGATACACACCCGTTCCGGCGGCCCACAACCGAAATCAAAATCGGGTCTGAAACAACCCAAATGAGGTGCTCACAAATAATGCAAGAAAATATTGAGGGAAAGTTCCAGCAGGAAAGGCAACAGCGGCAGGAAACTGTTCTCCCCAGTCATCGCCAATGTCAGCTCCATACTCGCCTCCAATGCTCCAATCAGGATGACCTGGATTGGGGCCAAACATATCGAGCACAGGAGTCGGCGAGCTCGGAAGAAGGGGAGCTTCCGCAACTTCCACAAATGCCTTGAGAACGTCAAGGAAAGAGCCATCAGAACGAATAAGTGCGCCCAGTGTAAGAGGAGCCGTGCACACCATGCGGCATAGTCCAAGCCGGACATTGGCACCTCAGGGCCCCGGCTGATGTCCCAAATGATCAGGGACAGTTCGGGCAAGTTGCTGACCCACACTAAGCTCGCCATGTATCTGAGGCCAAAGTTGAGACGCAGCTTGCGGAGAATCCGAGGCCTCAACTTCTCCCGGACACGCCTGTTGAAACAGTCCAATGGGTCTGATCCATGTTCACTTTGCCTGGTGTAGAGGGAGGCCAGCGACTCGTAGACCAGCTGACGGTCACAGATCATCTCAGCACCAGTTTCTGGATGTTTGTGACTGTTGTTACAACAGAAACATTGACAGGCTTGTATTTGAAAGCTCTTCAATTGCTGGGGTAGCTGGTCCAAATCATCTATCAGACCTAGACCCAAGTAGTTCACAGGAGGTAGTATAAGGCAGACGCACGGAAGGAAGATGCCGCACAAGAAGACGAGATTTGACATGGAGTTTCCATCAAAAGCGGAGAGCGACCAGATAAAGCTGAAAATCACCACATGCCACAGACCCGAAATCAAAAATAGGATGGCAGCGACCGTGACTGGAAGAATTTCAATCTGCTCCTGCTCCAGGGGCCGACCGCTCAGAAAGCATCCGATCTCATAGGCACACCACAAGCGACCGAAGGTTCTTTTGGACCACAAAACCAGAAGCTTGTTGGATCGGCGGACAAAGGCTCCAAGACCGAGGATACCCAGCAGTTTCAGCTCATCGTTCTCTTGATGGATGCAGAGTTTGTCCAGGAAAACCATCCAAGGTGATGCAAAGCAGCTCCGGATCCTCTGCCAGAAGAAAAGAAAGACCAGAAACACAGGGTAGCAGGAGAAGGTCCAGAGATCGTGTTGCCAAATGCTGCTCCCCAGTTGTGTCTTGGCGACACCGATCACAAGGCTTGAGAGCAAGGATGCTATGGCTGCAGCGTGGGAGTTGAAGTAGAGCACGAGAGTTAATAGCTTCATCCAGCGTGACGTCTCCCAATCATGGCTCAGGAAGACGTCAATAGACAGAACAGCTCGACTCAAGTTGAACAAGGCAGCTCTGCCTGGTCCGGAGCTCAATCCGGCCCAATATTTGCAAAAGCCACTCAGAGCCACAGAAAGAGGCGTCCCACGCAAGAGTTCGGGCTTCAAGATCAAGCTCAGGCTCACTGTCGCTGTCATGCTGAGGGTCCTGTCCACCTCGCTATCACAGCTATCGGTTTCGGATGACCATGAGACACCAGCTTCTCTGGAGGTATGCCCTTCGGCCAAATCCGTCACTGTGAGATCTGTCACATCCCTGGACTCAAGGACATCTTGAAGATCTGTGACATCCCCGAACTCCAGGACATCTTCGAGATCCCCGAACTCCAGGACATCTTGGAGATCTGTCGTGTCTGTCTGATCCATCGGCGTCTGCTGCAACGACAAGATTTGACTTGTTTCATTTATAGATAGATATATTATATATATATATATATATGTACATATTATATATATAATATACATATATATATATGCATGTGTATATATATAATTCTGCGATGTCTCTCTGAGAATCGAGGACCAGCAATTCAAGGTGCCTTGTCTTGAAACAGATTGGGCTTGGGCACGCCTCTGTCTACGAGTCGTTTCGATTTTGTTGTCCATGCGGCGTGATACTGTGGCTGTTTGGTTTCCACGTGTTTCTCAGAAGACAAACATGTCAAAGTGACCCCACCAGTGATTGCCTCGACAACTCACCAAACCCAGAGCCACTGGCCCGGCCCGCTTCTTTGGGTTCAGCGTCCGCACAAATGCATTGGCACTCGCAGGTGGCGCCTCAGACGGCTGACGGCTGATGGCCGGCTGACAGAGCACGTGAGCGGACTCCTTGAACTCATCTACTGGGAACAAGAAGCTACTAGAAACAAGTGCATCGCTACTAGGAGCAAAGGGCATCGCTACTAGGAGCAAGGACTCTACGAACGGGGCTCCTGGCCTTACTACTAGGAGCAACCACCTTTTCGAGGCATCCGCACTCGGGGATGGAACGATGAGTTCAGATCGGTTGATTTGGAAGAACGATGAGAGAAGCACACGGGGTCCTGTATTTGCGGAAGTCACCGCTCAAATACGTTGCTGAAAATAGGACCCTTCATGTCGGCTCAAATCCATGAAGGGTGTTCTTGTTCTACATCTGGAACATGCGGGAACTCCTTCCGGAAGAAAGGATGGAATATGTTGGGACATGGTGCACTCCTTCCCACCCGGTGAGCCAGTCGAGCAGTCGCCAGTCGCCAGTCGAGGCACAGAAGTAGGTCGCTGGCTCCTCGGGGTGCTCCGCACACCTGGCCGATCGGTGTAGATCGGGCGATCTCCTCGGTCCGGTTGCACGTCCGAGGGTGAAGGATTCAGGACCTGAACTCTCGTTGTCAGAAGCTAAAACCAACGAATTGGAGGCCATCGCTATTGCAGTGGGTTGGAGGCCGCTACGAACGTCACAATAAAGCTGTGATCCTTCAAATCTGAAAGGAAAAGGAATTCCCTTTTTCCACCTCTTTGGGTCGTCAAAAACCCGCTGGATGCACGAACTCGTGTCACTCCGGAAGTGATTCAATAAATCAACCATGATCAAACGGATCCAGATGGCCGATGCTGTGTCTCTTCATGGTTGTTGCACCATGAAGACGTGCAACAACCGTGGCGGTATGGTGGCGGGGCACCACCGGAGAATTGGCTAAAAACAGATCCACCGCTCGTGGTTCGTTCATGGATTGCAGCCTGCCAGGAAAAAAACAAACTGTCTTCACCCGAAAAACAAAAGCGTTCAAGGACTCAACAACCCTGGATTTGTAGGACACATCAAATGAAATCCTCATTTCACTCCTAACTCACATGAAAGGGAAACTATGGGAAACTGCTTGGGCGACGTCCAACTGGATCCCAAATCTAGCCCCAGAAAGAAGCAGTCATTGCAACGGCATTCCAAAGGCGTCTCAACACTTTTGGGGAGGGCATCTATAGAAACCCCCTAGGTGGTCATCGCGAAACATGGTGTTCCCACCCTGTGGAAGTCCGTCCACTCCGCAACGAGTGGACGCGCCTGAAGATGTGCACCGTCCGGCCGGGCCAAGGCTCCTCATCCCTGGCGCAGGGTCACTGCGCCGCGATTGGAAGGAACATCGAGGAGCCGAAGCCAATGGTGTGGCTGGAGGCCTTTCGCCCATGCCTGGCATGGGCTGGGGGGATGTTCAAGGTTCCCTACCAAGCAGGGTAGTAGAGTGATCTCCTACCACGGCCAAAATGGCCGGGGTTCCTTCGGCTTGGGGTCAAGCAATGATGCATCAAATACCCAGGACTTCGAGAATTGACCGATTCCCATCCTGGGTGGGGTTCAGAGTTGTCGCTGCGCCTTTCGTTCAAGCGCCACGCAACCCCCACAGATGTTGAGAGCTGAAGCATTGGGACACCAATGTCCCCTAGACATCAGTGGTCTTCAGATTCCATGTGGGTTCATTCGGGGAAACAGCTTGACACACCGCTCTGGCTGAACCACTGCTTCTTTGCGGTCTTCTTCGTTCACCAGGCCGGTGGGGCGCAGACGGTGGATGGAAGCCATGCACAACTTGGGAGAAGTGCCTGATCGAAGATAGAGAATTCACATGAATTCTCTATCTGCCCCTCCACTGGTTCCCAAAATTGGGATCGAATTCTTAGCCTATTGGACCTATTGCAGTGCTCAACGCCCTCTTCACCGGGATCGAACACAGCGCCCCCAGCACCCCCAGCACCCCGCCTGCGGGCGATCGCCGAGCTCGGGACCTCAGCGTCCCAAAAAGTCGGAGGCCCAATCGACCTCCTGGTGAAGGGTCATTGGGTCCAAAACCAGGTTTTTGTAGGGTCGGTTTGGAGCCATATCTAGTCAGAGGAATGGCCATCCATGATTCCAGGAGGGAATCATATACTCCAGAAAAAAAAAAGCTGCCGCTCGCAACTCTGAAAAGAACATCTCAAAAAGGCGCAGCACACAGCACGAGCTTGGGCCATCTGACTGGCACACAGCTCGTAGGCATCGGTGCGGGCACCAGTGCACGTGCGGGGATGCCTCTCGAGGGGCCGCTGTCCTGCGTTGTTCACGGTGCCGGGGGTGTAGGAATCCATGGGCGACTCCCAAAGGGATTCACGAAGCTGTTGGGTGGGGTTGCGTGGATGTTCATCTCTAGCCTTGCTGGATTCGGAGGCGCCCGGGCTGGACCTCTGAGATGCAGAAAGCTCCAAGTCTTCCCGAACAACTTCAGCTGGTGATGCATGCAGGCACAACAAATCTCCAGTGCGTGTCACACATGTTTCAAATCCCCGTCGTGGAATGAGCGGTGAATGTCGGGAATCAGATTCTAGAGTGAGGACACGAAAAACCAACCTCAAATAGAATCAAATCTCAACCTATTGCAGTCCTGAGAACCTGTTCCCTATAAAATTGTTCAGCTCAACCTTTCGAGCAAAGCAATTGTTGTCCTCAAGAAATGTTGATGCAAAAAATATGAAGGCTGAAACCGATTTTAGAAAATGATTGGACAAACGTGGCACAAGAGGTTGATTGTGATTTTATAGAGACATGTTTGGACACTGCAGGGTTGAAATTGATTTTAGAAGAAGGTTAAGCAGAAAAGCAAAAAAAACAGTCGAGTCGATGTGTCAAAACAGTGATTTTATAGAGGGATGCTATCTATAAAATCAAAACCTACAGCCTCTATAAAAATCTGGTGCATGTTCATGCCTTCTCTATAACATGGAATAGCTCAACCTATTGGGCATCATGAAAAATAATTAAACTTGTGAATGCACCGGTTTTTAGGCTAGCTTCTTTTCAGGTAGGTTGATATCTCATTCTAGAGAAACAGTGTCTTAAAATCTGATGGTCTTTTTGAGCTCCACGTCCCAGATTCAGGGTTTATTCGGCAGGGGATTGTTTAAACGTGTCGCGGCGTGTATGTACTCTCTGCCAAGACGAAACATGCCTTGTGGCTGTGTCGAGAGCCTTCGACGGGTCGGGGGCTCGGTAGCTCCGAAAGGATAGAACAGGTCGCTTCGATGGTGCATCGAGCTTGGCAAAAGCCTTCGAGCAACGCCCGAGCGGAAGGCTCCCTTGAAAAAGATCAGCGATCCCCAAAACATGTGGAAGCAGGAAGACCGAGATCTGCCAATCGGGATCAGAAGTCTGCAAAGGTCCGCGATTGGGCGAAATTCGCCCAAGATCCCTGTAGCTAAGATGGTATTCGATCAACTGGGATGTGGGGATGTATAAAACTGCCATGCTTTGGAAGGTGACTTGGCTTTGTGAGGTGTCTCCATCGCGCCGCAGCCACCGACGACGTCTCTCCCGTCCAGGCTCTGCGGGCTGCTTTCATCTCGCCGGGCGCCTCCGCGAAGACGGCCGGAACCGAAGGGGTCACCAATTGCTCGAACCGAAGTAGGGAAAAAGAAAGAGAAACGGCCTCACCCTGTCCAAAACACAAAAAGGCACGCAAGTTCAACGTCACTCGATCTCTGAAAAGTCGACAGGACAAGCACTGAAAAGAAAAAAGAAGCATGGCACATCAACACAGAGGCTCATCCCCAAGGGGGGTGGGTATGGATGGGTCGGGATGGGTACCGGTTTGGGTCCGAAGTGAAGGATGTCGTTCTCATCGCAAGGCTTCCAGCCGCGCCCCGAAAAGGGGGGTCCCGTGGATCGGAGGAAAACCGATGGGTTTGGCGCTCCTCGATGTGACCTGTTCGATCGTTTTCGGGCCTCTTCCTCCGGTCCATCACCGACTCTACACCTTTTATCTCCTCTTGAACTGGGACAAGTGATGGTCTTTGATGTCGGTTGGTTGTTCTCGCAAGTTGTTCACCATTTCACAGGCCCCTGCCTCACCCAAGGCACTGTAACCAGTAGGCACTGTAACCAGGACCTCTCTGTCTCTCTGTTGGGGCAGAAATTGAGTCATCCACAACTCATCCACAAGAGACGTCTCCCACCCCATCCCAGGTCTCCCTCAGTTCTTGGTCTCCCGGCGCTCGTTGGGAATTCGGGGCGGGTAGAGGACGCCCAGATTCATCCCACTCGCTTGACTCGGCCACTCCGGCGTCCGGAGCGGCAGCGCCTGCGAGGGAGGAGGGATGAGAAAGACAAACATTTGATTATAAACAGTCGTCCAGTCCTTTCCAATGCTGAAAGGTGGACTGTGAAAGGTGGACTGTGGGGAATGAAAGGCTCAAAGAATCCAGGTGGCTCCTTTTGGGGAAAGCGCACTAGCTAACCTTGTCGCTTCTCTAGGGCTATTGAGGTGATGGGGAACGGAAGTGTTGGGCATCACCCTTGAAGTGTGTGGCTTTGATTGGTGTCATCGCCCATTACATCCTAATACTAGTTGAACTGGGACCCCCCTTGCTGTTGGAGGATACCTGTCTACCAAAAGTAAGAACAATGTTCTTCCACCGACCGGTGGGAGGAAGCCACAAGCTTTCATAAGCTTTCAGCGGTTCGGTGAGCTCTTCTGTTTTTGCTCGTGGGCTTCGACAGCTGCAGGAGCGAGTCCGGTGACCGGCAGCACCTGTGGACCCAGTGCCTTTGAGACCGGACCTGCTTTTCGGTGACCGGCCATCAGTCGACCCCGGACCTCACACCACGGACGCGCGCCTGCGGCTCCACCATGGGGACCGTCGGCCGACTCAGGAGCGTCTTGGCCTCGGTGCGTCCGTGGCCGTGCCGAAGAACACCGCCATGAGGGACCGTCCCGCGTGAGGATGACGGAGTGGCGGCTACCCGTACCCGGTCAGGGGGGTTTTGATGTGGGAGGGCCGGTGATTTCTGGACTCAGCTGGATGCTCAGTCTGAGTCTAACTATAGCAAGGAGACCAGTTCTTTGTGGGCCTGGAGGCGCCGCTCTTTCCGCCAAATGGCGGTACGGGCCCTCCATCCGAACGCCCGGCTTCGCACGCGCAGCTCGGGCTTCCCCGGCCGCTTCATCGCAGAGCTCGGTGATGCTTGGGCACAGCAAGCACCGCACCGTCTTACCGCTCAAGGACCTCGTCTGCCGCAAGGCGCTCGCCGCACAGCTCAGGCAGAGGTCGTGGCCTCGAGCCATGGGTCGTGGCCGCGGGTGAACTGCGACGGCTCAGGTGGTGCTCCTCGCAGAAAAGGACTTTGTTGAAGATGACAGGATGAGAGAGGGAAGATGCGTCGCCATGCGTCACCTAGCTCTCCACAAGGCCTGGCCCAAAATCCCAGCTGGTCCAAGGTCCATTTGATACACAGTGCTTCGGGATCGGTACAAATGAAAATCCTCGTGCTCCTCATCAAACCTCAGATTGGTTCACATGTTCCTTGAGTCAGGTCTAGCAATCCTTTCATCCTTATGGGCGCCTCAGTCACCCCAGTCACCCCAGTCTTTCTGGGGCATCCGGTCCGCAGGAAAGGACCAGGGCATCCACTAAGACGTTGCCGCACCTGAAGTGACGCGAACGGGGCTCGGGGCTCCGGGCCTGGCCTACGAACGGAGCAAGAACGCTATGAACGTAACAAAGGGCATCTCTACGAACGGAGCAAGGACTCTACGAACGGGCCTAGGGGCTCCTGGTGGTATGGCTGTTTTGGTGCGGTTTTCGGTCTCCGACCCTGGCGAATGCCAAAAACCGGTTTTGGGGACCCGAAGAGAAGAGACACCGGTTCTGGCCAATCGTTGGAGAGGACGGAATGAAGCACAAAACGGTCGAGATGAAGCACCTGAAAAAAGTTTCCTCAAGAGGAACTTCAAAAGAAAATCGCATCCTGCTGTCTGGTAGGGTGTGGGACCCGTGTGGGATGGAGAGTGTCTATATCCCGGAGTGTCCGCCTTGCACGAGCCTTCCGACCTTTTGTGGAAGCTGTTCAAAACGAACCACTTGGCTCCCTGGATGGGGCTTGATATCTTGGTGCCCATCTTGCTGTATTTGGGTGTTGATGGAAAGGCCAAAGCTTGCACAACAGTGAAGAAACTATCCATCAACAGCAGCTATCTTGATTGCACTTCCTGCCTGCTGTGGACCGACTGGATGCAGGTCGCACTTTTACCTATCTGGATGGTGCTTACCATCCAAATACCTGGAGTTCGGATAGCAGAGTGCCCAACTGAATCTTCTTGCAGCTGAAGTGCTCAGCACATCGCGAGGGTGGAGAGCCTTTGGCATACGCCATGCCCAGCAACCTGGGCACCGAACACCGAACCATTCACTGGTCGGATGTCAATCGTTGCACGTTGGTATAAAAAGGAACTCGGTCATCGAAAAACATCGGGCCAAGAGTGTCCAGGTATCGTGAGAAGCGTTGTACAAAGGCCACGGTCACATGACTAGGACTACGAGTGGTTCTCTGGACTACGAGGTCTTCCACCTCGGGGGAGAAGAAAGCGACCCAGGCCCAGCAGGTCCCAACATGCGTGGACCTTTTTGAACAAGTGCTGGCATCTAGAAGAAATAGCGTCTTGCTACATAAATAGACTGGTGAACACTGAAAAGGGAACTTGAAATGATTGCAGCAACTAGCCAAATTCAACACTTCCGGAGCTGTGCTCGTTGGAAGAGGTTTCACCAGGAAACATGACTGAAGATGGAACCCTTCGAGGGATCAAGCAGTTCGGGTTCACACAACTGTGTTCAAGACCATCAAGACCATAGCTTAGAGTCGCTGGTCTTCCAACCTTGAAAAATTACCTGCATCGATGCCTCGAAAAATGAACTGCACCAGCACCCCAAATGAACCCCCTATTTCGACCCAAGATCATCAAAAAACGCAATCAAAAACCCAGCCATCTGTACCAGTGCCACGTCGAAGACCCCAAAACATGTGGCTTTTACATGGCAAAATCAACCCTCATCTTCCCAAAAAGGGAAAAACCACTTGGGCTCCCAACGCCACTCATCTCGTGCCGGGAGCGACTGCTCCCGGCACGAAGAGCGGCACGGAGGTGTCATGAAGCGGATGGGACCCGGTCTGGAGCCGATGAGGTTCCAAAGAGATCTTCTTCAGCTAGGCAGAAGCTAAGAACCTTCTGGGCTCCCCATTTCTGGAATGTCTGGGATGTATGATGTATCAACATGGAAGAAAAAGAACATCATCGGAATGTGGTTCACCTGACTGTTTTCCTCCTGATTGTTTTCTGCTGAAACCAAGTTCTTGACCACTTGCACTCTGCCGGTCAAAAGTATGTATTGCTTTGGGTGAACACTAACATAGCTTGTGAAATCAGATGGACATCTGTGGCTTAGAATCCACTGCCATGCGTGTTCTCCATGCCAAGAGAATCTAGTAGCTTGTCATCCCACGCACGAGGTCAAAACACATGGCTCGTCTTTGGAGCCGTCTTGAGCAGGAACTGCAGGACGGTCCCTCCTACCACTTGAGATTTGGAGAGTGGACCTTCGCTAGGCCTTTTAAACCGGAAAATGAACCAACCTCACATCTCATGTGCTCATTCTAGGCATGTTGGAGAAGCAACCTGAACTCAGTGTGCGCCAACTTCAGCTCAGAGCTCAGAGCTCCGCGTTGGCGGAGCTCCGAGCTGAAGGGATCCACGTCTGCCCCCCCGGCCGTCCGACGTTCTTTTCCCGCACCGGCCGGCCCAGTCGGGCTTCACGTCGTGGGGGGTTTCAGCCCACGTCGACGGGACGGTCCAACGGGCGCCCCCAGAGACGGTTGAGACCTGCACCGTTTGTGCAGGAAAATGCGAAAAACAACCAAAATCATACAGAAAATCGATGGTTTTTGTTTGAAGTTCTGACAGAAAGTGCTCCGCTATCTTCAGTGTTTGGCCAGTTCCAAACGGCGCAATGTTGGATTGATACCGGATCACAGGTTGGGCGAACCAACCTGGAGGGTGCATTTTGAGGGACCCTGGTAGGAAAGCACCCCCATTTCAGGTAAGACTCTGCTCATGCACATCGTATGAGCTGTGGCACCATCGCAGTATATCGAGAAATCATGTCCAAGACTTGGATGGCCTGCCCTCTGGCACTACCGTTTGGGAGGCCTCACAACCACACTGAAGCACGGCATGCCAAAGGCCCCCAGCAAGCACGGCATGCCCATGTGTCTTGCTGTCATCCATCACCATCGAGGTGATAGGCTGGCCTCAAAAGCACAGAGTGGTATGTCGCCTGCAGGCCAGCGGCGCACGGATTGACGGTCCCAATGTCTGAAGCCCATCCAGTGTCTAGACCAGCATTGATTGAGAAAAGCTCAGTGCAATCACCAACTGATATCTCCCAAAAACGACCATGCGCTTCCCCAACCTCTTCATCTTCCAGCAGACGACCGTGCGGTGCGCTTCTCTTGCTTCAGAAACTTTCCCCACGAATCAGCGAAGACGCGACCAGAAGTTTGGCACCTGCGCTGTCAAGGCTGGTCTGCACCAGTCATTTCGGCAGCCTTCAGCGTTGCAGCAAGAAGAAGACAAGTGGTCTAGTCTAGTGAGCTTTCATGAGCTTTCAATGGCACTTCAGTAAGGAAATAGAGAGGACTCGAACCTGAGAACGGAGCCTTCTGATCTGCACCAACACAGCACAAGGCCATCGCTGCACGAGCAGACGCTCGCCAACAGCAGCTCCGTCGACCTCCCGGTCGTCGACCTCGCGGGCGCGCCGATCGATGCCGATGTAAGGCGGCGCAAGCCTTTGGGGGGTCGAACTGAGAAAGGCCGGACCAGATTGCTTCATGCGCAATCACCAACTTAAATCTGCTTTGCGAACAGTGAACACCTTCCCTCTCTTAGTTTCATAGACAGGCCCCCTGTGAACGAGCGACTGCTGTCCAAAAACCAGCTCTCCGGTTTTGCACAAGTTGTCGTGGAACAGCTAAAGAAGCTCCCGAAACCTGTGGCTGAACTCACCATGCAAGTAGCTTGCGTTTCAAATTCGTGTGGTGCAGGATGTCTGAAGAATAACTTTGTTATTTTCTTCATGCTCTTTGGTCTCTGGAAAGGTCTCTGTAGCTTTAGACTTTAGACCCCAGGATTGATTCTGCGCGTGCGAAGCGAAATGCCTTGGCACGCTCTCTTTTTCTCTCCTCCTTCACGCCACGCTGGTGCTCAGCGGTCTCTGACTTGAACGTTGGATCTTCTCCGGAGAGAGGCACCATGCTAAGCCACAGAACAGAAGGCAAGCACAGATATAGCAAAGCAGCCACACGCTCGAAGGTTCACAGGAGATCACTACAAGTGCAGCTGCACCGGCTGCTTGTAGCACATCAAACACAAGCAGTATGAGAGTGTTCACAAGAATTCCCAAGATCATGCGCACGACTCTTCCCTTTACCACCAGCGTCAGCAAGTGCATGGCCCTGAGCGACAGTGGAAAGAAGAAAGCATCAACAACCGGTACGACGACACAGTTTACGACCGCCGTCGTGAACACGTAGTGCGAGACCGACGAGTAGCCTTGAACCAGGGCAGAAGAACAATCTGAGTGGCGATCACAGCTGAACACAACCAAGAATCCCAGCAGCACCACTGGCAGATTGAATACAGCGCAAAGTTTCAACGAGATGTCGATCTCACGACCCATCAAGCTCACGACCCTATCACGCAGCGGGCCCCTCACATATGCATTGAAGTGGTCAATGACTTCTTCTTCGGTCGGATAGCTGGTGACGTGGCGAATGCCTTGCAGAGATTGCTTCAAAAGAAGCGGATCCGCTGAATCTACGTCAGCATCTGTCTGTGAAACTTCTGCCACATCAAGCGATATTGACAAAGGAGGTTCCAAGGCCTCATCAAAAAGGTCTTGCACTTGCCTCTGAAGAACTACCCGATCTGTTTCTAAGGTGCACTGCGCATTTCTCAAGTCAAAGGATGCCATCTGATCCAACATCTGCTTGTGACCATCCAGTTTCTGGAAACAAAACCAGGCGGCGACGATGGCCATGACGACTGCATTGGCAGGAGGCAGAAATTGATAGAAAAACCTGGGTTTGTCAGAGTGAGGGACTGGGGTTCACTTCGAAAGAAATGGTTGCGAGTCGCAAATCTCACTAGGGATCAACCTTTGCTTGGGCATGACCTGGATTAAATTGGCAATGACATTTCAATTTTGCACACAGGAAAACATATCGCAGTCCAGTCCCCTCATGGAAAGGACACAGTGGAATGTGTTCAACGGGATCACCCCCTCATCGCAATCCTCCGTTTTCCCAACGTTCAAAACATCATTCGCCATATCGAATTTTGGTCCAAGAGGTATGTGCCGACATATCCGAAACGTGATGTCCACTCCAAACACATTGCTGGTATCCAATGGTCCCCCGTGCAAAGGAGCTGGGAGGAACCATTGGTTTCTTGTATCTTGGTCAGCAATAGCCATCCGTCGTATCGTAATGATCGTCCGAACCTTATCCCGGAGTTCGAGCCCTTGCCGAGACAAAGAGTTCCCTCAACCCGCGCGTAGGACCAGCATGGGATAAAATATTGGATCCTAGATGTTCACACTGTCGCGCTCATAAACGATCCTATAATTAAGACACATTGACATCCAATACGCAGTGCAAACAAGTGCAGCTTGACAGTTTCACAGCATTTCCCTTTAATCTTCATAAAATTGTTGGTTTTGCTGTGTCGTTTTTGTGCTGGGCTTCATTGTGGTTCATTGCAATTTCCTGACAGGTTTTCTTTCTTTAATGGCTGTAATATTTTTATATTTTTATTCACCTGCCAGGTGATGGTCTCTACACCATGAAGGTGCCACTCCTCGTCTCCTCCGCTCCTTTCCTCCTACATATCCTCCATGGCAGCCTGGGCGCGCATGAAAAAGGGAGCACCAGCTCAGTCGGGGCACACACGGACCAAATACTACAGGGAGCGCACCGAACTGAACACGATGGGGAGCTCAGCTCCGTCTGAGTGCGAACGGGTCTGCGCCATTCCGAATTAGAATGCTGTAGCAGATGTCAGAAGCTATGCCATTTGGAATGCCATATGTCAGAAACTATGTCCGAACAAGTGGCAGAAACATTGCTGGAATACATGGCTGCACATGTCAGAACATACATACATACATACATGCATACATACATACATGGCTCAAGGCCGTGAGCTGCTCAAGCAGGCGGCCCCGAAGCCCTGCAAGTGCGGTACCCCACGCGCTTTGTTGCAGGGAGAATAACATCAAGGTTGGCCCAAGGACATCCTGAAATACCACCGTTCTTTGCTCGCTATCTTGCTGAACACCAACCTCACTTTTGTGGTGACCTACGCTGGCTGGCAAGTTCTCGCCCTGCACAAGGACTAAGGCACCTTGCGGTCCGAGCACAACCTGAGGGAGATTGTGCACTACCACTTTGCCCGTTATCCCTACGACCCTGAAGACGCCTTCGGCCAGATCGCGATCGGGGCAGTGATCATGAATTGGTGCAGAGCCTATACCCCATGCAGCAAAGACACATGCAGCAACTGGATCTGGCATAGATGTACCCTGGAACCAGGTGCAGACGCTGTGGCACTATGTGGATGACATCGTCAACCAGCACAGGCGAAGGCAAAGGATATGGCAAGCCCTCAGGCAAGGCAACAGCGCCAATGGCCTGAAGCTCCACCAGGACTACCCAAAGTCAGGCCACTCAAGATCTCCAAGGTGCAACAAGAGGCCACAGAACCTTTGGCTACCACCTGGACGACACTGACGGAGGACACCCAGAATCGATTGCAGGCCATTGGAATAGGACCCACAAAGCCTGATGAACCAGAGCTCAAAGATGTCCTCAAGTCTCACATGGAGGCCCTACCACAACAGGTTCAAGATCTGGTCAACAAGCTGACCGCACCTGAGCCATGCACTGAACGAGAGATTGCAGCCAAGCTCAAAGGTCGTGTTACCGAGCTGAAGAATCTTTCAATGAAAAAGACCCAACTCCAGGCCAAGATAGACAATGTCAAGGCACAGTATGCGGCACTCCTTACTGACATGCAAAAGCTCCAATCCAAGCTCACTGAAGGACAGCAATCCCTCAAAAGCCTGTCCGACGATTACATGAAGGCAGTCAATCAGACTCCAGCACCATCTGAGCTGCCTGTGGCCAATGGAGAAGCTGAACAGATTCCCATGGCAGTTGAATGACTGAAGAGCAGAAGAATCAACTGCGTGGACTCCTGAAACGACCCAATCAGGATCAGGAGGACCCGACGAAGCGCCGCAAAACCGAGACGACCTCCCATGGGAAACCTGGACAGTGTGGATGTTTCAGGGGTGGACTTTCCCAGTTCCGGACGATGACATTGTGTCATGTGAAGGCCTTGAAAGTCCGAATACAAGGCATCTACTAGATGATATCACAGTTTTTGAAGCTGCACCTCAGCCACTGGCAGTACATCAACCATCACAACAGGTTTGCCGTGCTGCCTCAGGCTCACAACAGCAAATTGGGTTTTCAGCTTCACTGAGCGCAGGGGACAATGCACATCAGTCAGCTGATCCATATACAGGGGAGCTCTTCTCTACTGATGATGGGGATCAATCATTTCCAGGTAGACCTGAGCACACGTTTTCCAATTTTGAGGACCACAGCCAACCACACTTTGGCAATAGACCACCAGCTGACGGGGCGCCACATGGCAATGCCTACCTATCCATCTTAGGAGGAGCACCCGAAAGCATCAAGACTACACGCAGTCCAACACCGACATTTTCAGGCATGCAAAACTATGCCACCTCTACAGATTGCATCCTCCAGAACCTCACCATGGTGGTTGGCAATCCAAGCCTCCGGCGTTTTGCAAATGCGCCTTGCAGGGCCTTTACATGGGTCTGTGCCTTGCTGCAAGAGACAAGCACGCAACCATGGGGCACTTTACGAGAGGCTGTCCAGGAGTCCATTGACACGGCGGAACCTGACATCCAGGCCCTGCCAGGACTACGGGACCTATGGAAACAACATGATCTGAATGTGCAAGGAGATGCAAGCCACTTTGTCAACTCTCTGTGGCTTTTGTCACAAAGCAGAGCGGTTTGCTGAAATTCGAGAAGGAGGTTATCTCACTGACCATGTCCAACAGCCCATTTTGGTGCCCTATCCGGATGACTGGCCAGATGACGTCTCTTTCCAGCAGCTGATCAACAACTGGGCAAACCAAGGAATGGGCCAATACTTAATGGATGACAAGAAGGTCCTGGTCTGTCATGTGACCCGCAATACCTGCATCAATGGAGCGATGACAAAACATTCAACCCCTACAGCGCCTTCACCATGCCACGATCCCTTGATGGATTTGCACGAACCTCCACTGAGTTTGTGCCGGCAGTGCTCATTTGCCACCGGGGGCAGACCCACCAAGAGGGTCACTACTTTGCCATCCTGATCTATCGAGATCTCATGTGGCTTGCAGATGATGGCAAGGTTCCAACACACCTGCCAAATCTCACTCCCAGCTTGGCGAGCCAGGTCATACAAGTTTGGGCAGTGAGCATTGACTGTTTCAAGACTCCTCACCAAGTGCTTCAAGGACTGCCGCCAGCGGAAGAACCGGATTTTGATCCTCCGCTACATCCAAGTCCAACAAAGAGGGCCAGATTCGAACAAGACCACAACTCCCTGTACTTCGGCAATGTCACCAACTTTGGACATCAGGTCATTGATTGGTATT